ATAATTATAGCGCCACCTAATGGATGAATACTGGCCATTCTTCCACTTCCCGGCCTTCTGAAGTCTGCAAAGCCTCCGACGCCCCACCTCCTCCTTCTCTCTTCAGAGCGTGCTCGCCTGCTGCCTCTGCCGTCACCAGTGCCTAGGCCCCGGGGGGGATTATGCGCGCGAGCAAGCGCCGCGCTCAACAGCATCTCTCCCGGGCCTAGGGCGCCAAACATACTCAATCAATAAACTTCTAACTGCATTTTCCCTCTTGGGTCTCTCCAAAGTGAAATGGGCTCTACTTTCAATATGTACATTTTGACAGTTTTTGGATGAGTACATTTTGAAATATTTGAGCAACACTTTGTGGATGTGAGTGTATGTGCCATAAAACATACAGTGCCTTGCGAAAGTATTCGGCCCCCTTGAACCTTTCAACATTTCAGGCTTCAAACATAAAGATATAAAACATTTATTTTTTGTCATGAATCATCAACAAGTGGGACACAATCGTGAAGTGGAACAAAATTTATTGGATAATTTAAACTTTTTTAACAAATAAAAAACTGAAAAGTGGGGCGTGCAATATTATTCGGCCCCTTTACTTTAAGTGCAGCAAACTCACTCCAGAAGTTCAGTGAGGATCTTTGAATGATCCAATGTTGTCCTAAATGACTGATGATGATAAATAGAATGCACCTGTGTGTAATCAAGTCTCCGTATAAATGCACCTGCTCTTTGATAGTCTCAGGGTTCTGTTTAAAGCGCAGAGAGAACCATGAAGACAAAGGAACACACCAGGCAGGTCCGAGATACTGTTGTGGAGAAGTTTAAAGCCGGATTTGGATACAAAAAGATTTCCCAAGCTTTAAACATCTCAAGGAGCACTGTGCAAGCAATTATATTGAAATGGAAGGAGTATCAGACCACTGCAAATCTACCAAGACCCGGCCGTCCCTCCAAACTTTCATCTCAAACAAGGAGAAGACTGATCAGAGATGCAGCCAAGAGGCCCATGATCACTCTGGATGAACTGCAGATAACTACAGCTGAGGTGGGAGAGTCTGTCCATAGGACAACAATCAGTCGTGCAATGCATAAATCTGGCCTTTATGGAAGAGTGGCAAGAAGAAAGCCATTTCTCAAAGATATCCATAAAAAGTCTCGTTTAAAGTTTGCCACAAGCCACCTGGGAGACACACCAAACATGTGGAAGAAGGTGCTCTGGTCAGATGAAACCAAAATTGAACTTTTTTGCCACAATGCAAAACGATATGTTTGGCGTAAAAGCAACACAGCTCATGACCCTGAACACACCATCCCCACTGTCAAACATGGTGGTGGCAGCATCATGCTTTGGGCCTGCTTTTCTTCAGCAGGGACAGGGAAGATGGCTAAAATTGATGGGAAGATGGATGGAGCCAAATACAGGACCATTCTGGAAGAAAACCTGTTCTGCAAAAGACCTGAGACTGGGACGGAGATTTATCTTCCAACAGGACAATGATCCAAAACATAAAGCCAAATCTACAATGGAATGGTTCACAAATAGACGTATCCAGGTGTTAGAATGGCCAAGTCAAAGTCCAGACCTGAATCCAATCGAGAATCTGTGGAAAGAGCTGAAGACTGCTGTTCACAAACACTCTCCATCCAACCTCACTGAGCTCCAGCTGTTTTGCAAGGAAGAATGGGCAAGAATTCCAGTCTCTCGGTGTGCAAAACTGATAGAGACATACCCCAAGCGACTTGCAGCTGTAATTGCAGAAAAAGGTGGCGCTACAAAGTATTAGCGCAAGGGGCCGAATAATATTGCACGCCCCACTTTTCAGTATTTTATTTGTTAAAAAAGTTTAAATTATCCAATACATTTCGTTCCACTTCACGATTGTGTCCCACTTGTTGTTGATTCTTGACAAAAAAAATAATTTTTATATCTTTATGTTTGAAGCCTGAAATGTGGCGAAATGTTGAAAGGTTCAAGGGGGCCAAATACTTTCGCAAGGCACTGTATGCATCAAAAACACTTGTGTTGTTGCCGTTTTCTAACATGTGATCCTGGACATGTTTGAGGAGATGCTAAAGTCAAACTAAATAGTTTTACAATCACTTTTCTGCAGTTCGTCTGTTTTCACAAACACCTCATTTTCTCATTTTTTTGTCTAAGACTGGTGCTTTTTGTCACACTCCTCTTTTCGACTGGAGATCACAGGAGAACGAAACAAACTAAGAACAAACTTCTTTTTGCTGCTGAAAGTGTCCTGTCTTTCAGACTCTGGTTTCATATTTTTCATAGCACACAATATTCAGTGAAGTCATCAAAAAATGGCTGGCAGTCAATGAGAACCTCTTTTTTGTGTTCAAAAATTACATAAAATTATAAAACTGTCACATACAGATGATAAAACAGTCACATACAGATGATAAAACAGTCACATACAGATGATAAAACAGTCACATACAGATGATAAAACGGTCACATACAGATGATAAAACAGTCACATACAGATGATAAAACAGTCACATACAGATGATAAAACAGTCACATACAGATGATAAAACAGTCACATACAGATGATAAAACAGTCACATACAGATTATAAAACAGTCACATACAGATTATAAAACAGTCACATCCAGATGATAAAACAGTCACATACAGATGATAAAACAGTCACATCCAGATGATAAAACAGTCACATACAGATGATAAAACAGTCACATACAGATGATAAAACAGTCACATACAGATGATAAAACAGTCACATACAGATGATAAAACAGTCACATACAGATGATAAAACAGTCGCATACAGATGATAAAACAGTCGCATACAGATGATAAAACAGTCGCATACAGATGATAAAACAGTCGCATACAGATGATAAAACAGTCACATACAGATTATAAAACAGTCACATACAGATGATAAAACAGTCACATCCAGATGATAAAACAGTCACATACAGATGATAAAACAGTCACATACAGATGATAAAACAGTCACATACAGATGATAAAACAGTCACATACAGATGATAAAACAGTCACATACAGATTATAAAACAGTCACATACAGATGATAAAACGGTCACATACAGATGATAAAACAGTCACATACAGATGATAAAACAGTCACATACAGATGATAAAACAGTCACATACAGATTATAAAACAGTCACATACAGATTATAAAACAGTCACATACAGATTATAAAACAGTCACATACAGATGATAAAACAGTAACACACAATTTCATAAAATTACGGATTATAAAAACAGTTACATTTCACTGAAGATGTCTCAATCTGGATCTAAAAGCATTCAAGGAATAAGTTCAGATAATTTCCAGTCTTTTTGCAACACGTTCCATGTAGAAGGAGCAGAAAAAACAAAAGTTTTTTTTTCCCAATTCTGTGCAAAAGGAACAGAGAGCAACAAAAGATCATTTGATCCAAACATGAACATGTCTCTGTGAGTAAACGACAGATGTCAGAGGGCAGCAGACCAAGCCTTAGAAACTAATCCAGAGTCCAAACCTTCTGTGGACAAAGATCCCACTCCAGAATATCACTCACAGTGAGGCTTTGCAGTTTGTAATGAATGAAACATTGAAAAAACATTTTTCCTATATTTAAGCGCAGTCTTACTGTTGAAACTGCGTAAAACATTACATTAAATATACTTCTTTAGGAATGAAACCTCTGCCTTGTTTTTGATGAATACTTGGGCTTACTACGCTACTGTGTGGTGTGGTCATTTGTGGTGGTACTTGGAGAGGCAAGTATTTTCTGAGGGGGTACTTGGTGTGAAAAGTTTGAGAACCACTGATCTAAGTGTTACGCCCAAGCCCAGACCATGACCTGCATTTCTTCAGTATTCAGTGGCTCCAAGATACAATCTAGTAAGAGTCAACTTTGAGTCATGACATTAAATGTTTTCATGAATGCAGGGACACTGTACAATATGATGGTAGATTATACAATTCAATTCAACGTTATTCTTGTATCGCAGGGCAGTCCGCAGGTGCAGATGGAGGAGGCCAGGTCAAGAGGTCCCGTCATCGTACCATGAAACAGACAATGGGAAAATGGGTGAATAGCAATGAACAGACTACAGTCAAAATCCTAATAATGCTGAACAGATAGAGTAGGAAGGAGGAGAGGATAGTGCTCAAGTTACCATACTTCTCCAGCAGGGGGCTCCCTATGCAGCTTGACTGACAGTCTGAGGAGTTTAGCCTTCCCTGAGTCTTAGCTTCCTAACCATATGCTAAACTAAAGAAGACTGTTTTAAACCTAGCCTTGAACGTAGAAAGTGCTTCCTTAAAAACATGTAAATATCCATCCGTCTTTCAGTCTATCTATCTCTTCATTCATCTGTCTATCCATGTGTTATTTACTGCAGTAATCACACCGACTACACTTGTATTTCCACTGCTCACGGAGTCTCTCTCTTCCATCCATGTTTTATAGAAGAAAAAGTCTGTCTCTCTCACCCCTATCTCTCTCTCTCACCCCTGTCTCCCTCTCACCCCTGTCTCTCCCTCTCATCCCTGTCTCCCTCTCACCCATGTCTCTCTCTCACCCCTGTCTCTCTCTCTCACCCCTGTCTCTCTCTCTCACCCCTTTCTCTCTCACCCCTGTCTCCCTCTCACCCCTGTCTCTCTCTCACCCCTGTCTCTCTCTCACCCCTGTCTCTCTCTCACCCCGTCTCTCTCACCCCTGTCTCAATCTCCCTCTCTCTCTCACCCCTGTCTGTCTGTCTGTCTGTCTCTCTCTATCTCCCTCTCTCCCTCTCACCCCTGACTCTTTCTCCCCCGTCTCTCTCTCTCTCTCTCTCTCTCACCCCTGTCTCTCTCTCTCTCTCTCTCTCTGTCTCTCTCTCTCTCTCTCACCCGTCTCTTTCTCTCTCCCCTGTCTCTCTCTCTCTCTCTCACCCCTGTCTCTCTCTCTCTCTCTCACCCGTCTCTCTCTCTCTCTCTCTCTCTCCCCTGTCGTGAGATCCATGTTCTATAAGCACTGAGGCTTTAGGGGGGAGGCTGTAGGGGGTGAGGCTGTAGGGGGTGAGGCTTTAGGGGGTGAGGCTTTAGGGGGGGAGGCTGTAGGGGGTGAGGCTTTAGGGGGTGAGGCTGTAGGGGGTGAGGCTGTAGGGGGTGAGGCTGTAGGGGGTGAGGCTTTAGGGGGTGAGGCTGTAGGGGGTGAGGCTTTAGGGGGTGAGGCTGTAGGGGGTGAGGCTGTAGGGTGTGAGGCTGTAGGGGGTGAGGCTTTAGGGGGTGAGGCTTTAGGGGGTGAGGCTGTAGGGGGTGAGGCTGTAGGGGGTGAGGCTTTAGGGGGGAGGCTGTAGGGGGTGAGGCTGTAGGGGGTGAGGCTTTAGGGGGGAGGCTGTAGGGGGTGAGGCTTTAGGGGTTGAGGCTTTGGGGGTGAGACTTTAGGGGGGGAGGCTTTGGGGAGTGAGGCTGTCTCTCTCTCCTCCCTGTCTCTCTCACCTCTGTCTCTCTCTCCCCTGTCTCTCTCTCTCTCTCTCCCCTGTCTCTCTCTCTCTCTCTCCCCTGTCTCTCTCTCTCCCCCTGTCTCTCTCACCCCTGTCTCTCTCTCTCTTGTCTCTCTCTCTCACCTCTGTCTCTCTCTCTCTTGTCTCTCTCTCTCACCTCTGTCTCTCTCTCTCTTGTCTCTCTCTCTCTCCTGTCTCTCTCTCTCTCTTGTCTCTCTCTCTCACCTCTGTCTCTCTCTCTTGTCTCTCTCTCTCTCCTGTCTCTCTCTCTTTAGGCCAAAGATGAACCACATAAACAATTACACATGTTCAACACAGTGTTGAACATGATTTAAAATAAAACCCAACAACACAACAACACAACTACACAACTACACAACACCCACACCATGACGCATTAACACTGACAACATAAATAACTCACATAAACACAGACAGGACATCCCCACGTGCACATCCCTCTGCAGTCTAAAGTATGAAGCGACTCACTGAGGCCCTCTACTGGCAGTGCAACGCAAAAGCACTCTTCTCTCCACTTTAAAATCAAACTATTGATCTATTTGAATATATATTTTTAACTATTTTCTCTGTGAAATGCATGTGGGTTAAGTGCAGAGAGACCAGCAGACGTCCTGTCCCTGCGCTGAGGCCAGAGCGGAGGCTATTTTTGTTTTTCAGGCCGCTCTAAAAACTCTGGGGTAAAAATAGCTCCAAGGTTATAAAAGTAGCTTCTGTTTTCTACAGGTTTGATGTTTATGTTGAAAAACTGCAGCTCGGTGATACATCTGAGAACATGGGGATGCTAACACTGCGCTAACACTTGAACTCCAACAGCAGTCAATTTGACCCCTGCCTCTCTCTCACCCATGTCTCTCTCTCACCTCTGTCTCTCTCACCTCTGTCTCTCTCTCACCCATGTCTCTCTCTCACCCCTGTCTCTCTCTCTCACCTCTGTCTCTCTCTCACCCTTGTCTCTCTCTCACCTCTGTCTCTCTCTCTCACCTCTGTCTCTCTCTCACCCTTGTCTCTCTCTCACCTCTGTTTCTCTCTCACCCATGTCTCTCTCTCACCCCTGTCTCTCTCTCTCACCTCTGTCTCTCTCTCACCCTTGTCTCTCTCTCACCTCTGTCTCTCTCTCACCCCTGTATTTTTCTCACCCCGTCTCTCTCTCACCTCTGTCTCTCTCTCACCCCTGTCTCTCTCTCACCCCTGTATTTCTCTCACCCCGTCTATCCCTCACCTCTGTCTCTCTCTCACCCCTGTCTCTCTCTCACCCCTGTATTTCTCTCACCCCTGTCTCTCTCTCACCCCTGTCTCTCTATCACCTCTGTTTCTCTCTCACCCATGTCTCTCTCACCCCTGTCTCTCTCTCACCCCTGTCTCTCCCACCCCGTCTCTCTCTCACCTCTGTCTCTCTCACCCTGTCTCTCTCTCACCCCTGTCTCTCTCTCTCACCCCTGTCTCTCTCTCACCTCTGTCTCTCTCACCCTGTCTCTCTCTCACCCCTGTCTCTCTCTCACCCTGTCTCTCTCTCACCTCTGTCTCTCTCTCTCACCCCTGTCTATCTCTCACCTCTGTCTCTCTCTCACCCCTGTCTCTCTCTCACCCCTGTCTCTCCCACCCCGTCTCTCTCTCACCTCTGTCTCTCTCTCACCCCTGTCTCTCTCTCACCCCTGTCTCTCTCTCTCACCCCTGTCTCTCTCTCACCCCTGTCTCTCTCTCTCCTCTGTCTCTCTCTCATCCCTGTCTCTCTCTCACCCCTGTCTCTCCCACCCCGTCTCTCTCTCACCTCTGTCTCTCTCTCACCTCTGTCTCTCTCTCACCTCTGTCTCTCTCTCACCTCTGTCTCTCTCTCACCCGTTTCTCTCTCACCCCTGTCTCTCTCTCACCCCTGTCTCTCTCTTACCCCTGTCTCTCTCTCACCCCTGTCTCTCTCTCACCTCTGTCTCTCTCTCACCCCTGTCTCTCTCTCACCCCTGTCTCTCTCTTACCCCTGTCTCTCTCACCTCTGTCTCTCTCTCACCCCTGTCTCTCTCTCTCACCCTGTCTCGCTCTCACCCCTGTCTCTCTCTCACCCATGTCTCTCTCTCACCCTGTCTCGCTCTCACCCCTGTCTCTCTCTCACCCATGTCTCTCTCTCACCCCTGTCTCTCTCTTACCCCCGTCTCTCTCTCACCTCTGTCTCTCTCTCACCCCTGTCTCTCTCTCACCCCTGTCTCTCTCTTACCCCTGTCTCTCTCACCTCTGTCTCTCTCTCACCCCTGTCTCTCTCTCTCACCCTGTCTCGCTCTCACCCCTGTCTCTCTGTCACCCATGTCTCTCACCCTGTCTCGCTCTCACCCCTGTCTCTCTCTCACCCATGTCTCTCTCTCACCCCTGTCTCTCTCTCACCCCCGTCTCTCTCTCACGCCTGTCTCTCTCTCACCCCTGTCTCTCTCTCACCTCTGTCTCTCTCTCACAGTGGGGCGGCTGCGGCTGTAAAGTTCCAAACTGTGGTTGTGTCCTTAGACAAGACACTTCCCCCACATTAGAATGAGTCTGGTGTGTGTGTGTGTGGGAGGGGCTGATGGCACAGACTGGTTGCCTCGCTTCTGTCAGTGTGCCCCAGGGCAGTTGTGGCTACAGTAGTACATTAGCCGTAGTAGATTACGTGTGAAGAATCTTTGAGAGTCCAATAAAACCGATGCCTTTGCCAGATGAAGTAAAAACATGTTCAAATATGATTCAGTTCAAACAAAGAAGTACGTTATACCCAAAATCACAACAGTAGTTTTCTAAGAAGACTTTTTAAAGCTGTCGATTTGCCAACACAGATCAGAAAACCAAAGAGGAAATGCGATGATAGAAAACACACAGAGCCGTCGATGAGAGAAGGGTGTAGGGTCAGAGAGTGTTTTTGGGCCTGTCTGAGTCAGCTTCGTTCGGCCTCCCTCGGCCTGTGGAGGCCAGTGGCTCGAGGCGTCGCTGGTTATTCTACTGAGCGTGAAGGAGGAGGATGTAGGATGTAGGATGCCCCCCCCCCGGGCTTACATACAGACCATGTGATCCTCGCAGACAAGACACCACCATTGTCCATCTGAGGACCGACAGTGCCAGTGAGGAACAGGCACAAGCCCCAACACCGTCCGAATCAACACGAAAAAACATATTTCTGAACCTTCCTGATCCTTAAATACTCAAAACTGACACATTTTTAATCAACAAACTAAGATTTTTCATTCTTTCCACATTTGTGTTGTTCTGTGGAGGACTTTTTCAGCTCAGAAAAAACTAATTCAAAGCTCAAAAATGTGCCTTTGTGTGGTAAAAATGCATCTTGTTCCCTCCGCCCTCAGTCCTACTCCTTAGTGTAGGAGGAGCGGCTGTGTTTTACAGTGTATGCACGGCTTTTGACAGCTGCAGCAACACAACAGGTTTGATATCTTTGCGATCGCACTCCAGAGGGCGACCTGTTCAACAAAACACATGACGGCAAAATGACACACACACACACACACACCAATGGCAAGCAACAAGGCCAAGGCACACACACCCACACAATTATTCACAAAGACACACAGACACACACATTTATTCACAGAGACACAAACACACATTTATTAACATAGACAGATTTAACACCAATGGCAAGAAACAAGACCAAGGCACGCACACAACCATGTCTACAACACTCACTATTCATTCAAATACACACACATTTAAACACAAACAAACACACATACACAAAAACACACAAGGCCCAAGAAACACTCACTAACCCTACACCTCTCTATCCATTCAAATACACACACACACACACACACACACACACACACACACACGTCTCTCGGTGGCGCCCTCTGCTGTTCAGTGTTTTATTGTTTTTGACTAAAACGATAAAACATAATCATTTGTTTCCCCAGACGCTGTGGTCATGTGATCAGAGGTGTATGTCAGCTGCAGTGCATCATGGGCGCTGTGATAATCTGTGGGAGGAAGCTTCCTGTGGGGTCCAGACTCTGCAGGGTGTGATGTCACATGTTTACAGCAGCTAAAAATACACAACAATAATCATCAAGGAGCTCAAATGTATGAATCAATGGTTTAAAAAGGATCGCTGAAAAAACTACACTGCAAAAAAAAAATGTCTTATGATTTGTTTTTTACATAAAATTACAGTTTTTCTCAGTCGCTTTGGTGCATTTTTCACATCAGTTCTCAAAACTATTAGTTCAACCTCCACAACATTGGGTCATTGGTGCACATCATCACGGCAGTTTCTCATTCCTCTGAACACATTTCAAATGCTTTCGTTCATGTATCAATAACTTTCATACAATTATCAGCGTTTTTTTAACATTATCATTTGCTTCTGTCCTGTCAGTCAGAATGAAACATACTTATGACTTCTGAATAGTCATTCACTATAAAACTAACTGTTCTCATTTCATTGCTTTGGTCATCACATACTGTACAAAATTGTTGAACTAGTTCTCAAAATCATAACTGTCAAGCTAATTTCATACATTCCTTCATCTTTTTTTCCTGTAAATCTTTCTTAAATTGAACAATTTATCTCAGGTGAACTTCAGCTTCACTCTGAGGTGTGCTTTATTGTTTATTTTTGTCACAGTTCTACCATAATGATATTTCTGTATGTTTGTTCTATGTATATACATGTATGTGTCTGCACTTCTACAGCATTGTGCAACAAATATACAAAGAGCATATGCAGTACACATACATACATACATACACACATACATACATACATACATATACATACAGTACATACATACATACATACATACATACAATACATATACATACAGTACATACATACATAGATACATACATATACATACAGTACATACATACATAGATACACACATACATACATACAGTACATACATAGATACACACATACATACATACATACATACATACATAGATACACACATACATACATACATACATACATACATATACATACTGTACATACATACATAGATACACACATACATACATATACATACAGTACATACATACATACAGTACACACACACACATACATACATACATACATACAGTACATACATATATGTTACAGAATGTCAGTTACGTCTCTAAATACAGTCTTTGTGTAACTTTACTGTAGTTTTTACTGTAAATGGCTGCACAGGTCGTGTATAGTGAGCTCATAGTCGTGCTCAAGTGTCACCGAGATCTGACTTTTTTACACTGAAAACACAGAGAGAGTAAACTTTCACAATGAAAACATGACTAAGTCATTTGACTGTGATGTTCATACTCAATGTTGTTAGGACATATTATTTTCACGACATAGACAGTTTCATTACCGTTTGGACTTGCTTTTTAGGAAAAAACTTTTCATTTTGAGAAAGTGACGCACTTTTGCAGGTTTTCCACGAGGTTCTGCAGTTTACACTAATTGTTCTGAGAAATGCACCAACAGTTGTGCAAATGTGAAGAATGATGTGAGAAATGCACCAAAGCGACCGAGAAAAACTGTAATAAATTGGTCCAACTCTTTTGCACGTGTATTCCAAAGTGGTTTTACTGCAAATGGCAAGGAAACTGAATTATTTATTATTTATTACACTGAAAATCAAAATACACCAACATACACAGACTGTACTACAGTCTGTGTATGTCTGTACTACAGACTGTACTACAGTCTGTAGTACAGACTGTAGTACTGAACAGAACAGTTATAGATAGATAGATAGATAGATAGGTAGGTAGATACTTTATTGATCCCCGTAGGAAAGTCTTTTCTAATAATAAGACAGTAGTAAGTTTTGTACCCCAGCTTTAACCCTTGTGCCATCCCCACACAGCGAAAAAACAACCTAAATAGTTTTATTCTTTTTTAAGCTAAATGTTGATGTTTTTCCCACCGCCCCTGTTTCATTTAGGGCACGGTCACATAGGTTTTTAGAAACGAACTTGGCCAAGTGGCCCGGATCGTTGCCACAGGGAGTGAAAACGGCCCGCGGTCACATGAACGTGTTGACTGAACCGTGCCAGGGAAATTGCGCTGTAGTACAACATTCGGTCCAGCTGGTGGCGCTAATACTAACACCAGGTTGAGATCCGCTTCTTTTCCTGTTTACATTCTGCTACTGTAGCTAACAGCTAACAGCTACAGCTACAGTAGCTGTTAGCTTGTTAGCTTGTTAGCTGTTTGTGTGTGTGTGTTCTGGTGATTAAATAAAGACTGATTCTTGAATGTCTGAAGTGTTATTGCATTAGCACCACACTGAGAGCGACGGTCAGGACAGAAGAGAGCTGTACCCGTAGGAAAGGCTTTTCTTTGGCTCTGCAGAGAGACACTCCCCCAGCGCCCCTCGACCACGGTCCGGGGCTTATATGAAAGGTTTGACACAAGCGGATAATACAAAAGTGCAGGAGAGACGTCTGTGAAAATGCGTGTCACAGGAAGACGTAATGTGACGCACGATATCAAGTCCCCACCACCCCTAATCCCCCACTCCCCACCACCCGCCACACTGACCCCCCTCATCTGCGCTGAGAAGGCCCTGTCCGCGAATGCCGCGGTCAGATGGCACCTAAAGCCCGGATCAAACTGCGAAACGGGCCCTGGCACACTTTAACCAGGCTTTAGGCTGCGCATGTGACCGCAGCCCCAGACTCTTTTAAATCCTAATTTAGTCTCTCTCTATTCTACTTTTATTATGAATGAACAAGGGCTGGTCAAGTTATAAAGAAATAGTTAAAATTCAGCTTGAAAAAAAGAAAAACCCATATAGGGTCATTTTAAATCCATCTACTGTATCTAATTTACTATGTATTTTTTCAACTATAACATAAATCAATCTATATTTTCATTGAAATTTCCAGCAGACGTCCAGAAAAGTTCAGTAAGTACTTCTTTACTTTACTTTTGCTTTCACTACTTTTACCGGAATCGAGTTTTCTAAAAGTACTTGTATTTTTGCCCTTGGTCAATACCAGCGTGGATGGAGCTGAACACAAATCTGTTTTTGCTTGGGGAAACTATTCTATAACATATTTAAAGTTTTCATAATAGGCCACTAAAAATAGAGAGGCCTCATTTCAGATTTATGCAGCTAAAATTGGGAACAGTCTTCCTGAAAATGTGAGACAGGCTTCTACTCTGACAATGTTCAAACCCAGCAGTGAATACAGTTCAATCTTTAAGCTTTTTAATGCACTGTGAATATTTATGATTTTAACGCCTGGTTTACTTTCCTTGTTAAGCACTCTGAGTTGCGTACACTTCACAAATAAACTTGCCTGGCCATTTTCACAGCAAAAACCAGTGAGTTTGGGAGAAAATGAAACTCCTCACACATTAAATAATTAGTTGGTTGAAGTTGGTGACTCTGGTTTGTTTTGGCACATTCTTGTTGTTGCTCCCGCCTCCCTCCCTTCAGGAGCCTCACCGACTATTTACATCCACCCCCTCATCTCCGCTTGCGGCTCCAACCTCCAGAAATAACCCTGGCCCTGTGCCTGAGCTTCTAAATGAATTAAAGTGCTCTCGTAAAAAGCCCCTGCCTTGCTTTTTTAGCCGGTGAAGAAAAACAAACCTCCCAATATGATTAAAAAGGGGGTGGATCCCTCTCGGTTTCTGCCTGTCTGTCAGTCAGTCAGACCCGGGCACCCCCAGCGGCAGCCGACGGATCAGGTGACCGCGTAGAGAGGCACCAACCCCGGCTTCAACTCCCCACAACACCCCGGGGGAGGGAGGAGGGACCCTCGGATGGTGTTGGAGCAGCTTTTTGCACACCATCGCGACCCGTAGCTGCAGTTCCTCCGCCGTATAGATAGTCAGACACACGCTGACATGGCTATGGACTGACTGGGTGACTTGCCTCGGCGCGCACGCTTGGATCTTTGTTATTTTTGTATTTTTTTTTCAACCTCAAACATGGACGAGCCAAACATACTGAGGCGACGTGGACTCCAGGTACAGCGTGGCACTTGCAGAACACACACCGTTTCATTTCCTCTTTACACTGCGTTTCTGTGTTTCATGCAACACTGTATCAGCCCCACTGCCTCTAGAATGTTCTGATGTTATATTATTAGGATTTAATTACTAGTGCCATTTGCAATTGTGTCGTGTTGATTGGGGATATTAATTAGATGCTCCCGTGTTATTGGATGTGAGGTTGCCTTGGAGACAGGGGCATAAATCCGGCGTGATTGGCGGAGGAGAAGAGCCTCCTCCGCGGGTGCCATGTTTACCAGGCGCGCTCCGGAGGTGGATGATGGGAATGAAAGGAGAAGGACTGGTCATTCATGCAGGGCCATTGTTATTCCAGAGTAGGATCCATCAGGTCCTGCAGGCGACAGAATGTGGAATGCTGTTAAAGAAGCACATACGAAGCAGTATTTGTGTTCACTTTGTTTGAAAGATTGTATTGAGTTTGTTTATTTGAGAAGTCCTGATTCTGCACAAAAGAAGTGGGCCGAAGCAAAAAAGATTATGAGAACCCCCACTCCCAGAACTCAATTACAATCGAACTTTTAATATCACAATAAAATGGTACAGGACGAGGACAGAAAGGCACAAAACAAGATACCTCCTGGATTATAGAAGAATCCACCATTTAAACAGTGAAGAATGGATTATACAATTGGCTATGACTTAATGCGATTAGCCTCACTGACCAGAGAGAGAGCAGAGAGAGAGCAGAGAGAGACCAGAGAGAGACCAGAGAGAGACCAGAGGGAGACCAGAGAGAGACCAGAGTGAGACCAGAGAGAGAGCAGAGAGAGACCAGAGAGAGCAGAGAGAGACCAGAGAGACCAGAGAGAGACCAGAGAGACCAGAGAGAGACCAGAGAGACCAGAGAGAGACCAGAGAGAGACCAGAGAGAGACCAGAGAGAGACCAGAGAGAGACCAGAGAGAGACCAGAGAGAGACCAGAGTGAGACCAGAGAGAGAGCAGAGAGAGACCAGAGAGACCAGAGAGAGCAGAGAGAGACCAGAGAGACCAGAGAGAGACCAGAGAGACCAGAGAGAGACCAGAGAGACCAGAGAGAGACCAGAGAGAGACCAGAGAGAGACCAGAGAGAGACCAGAGAGAGACCAGAGAGAGACCAGAGAGAGACCAGAGAGACACCAGAGAGACACCAGAAAGACACCAGAGAGAGACCAGAGAGAGACCAGAGAGAGACCAGAGAGAGACCAGAGAGAGACCAGAGAGAGAGCGGAGAGAGAGCAGAGAGAGACCACTGCCACGCTTCTGTCAGTGTGCCCCGGGGCAACAAGGACGTATAAAACCCATTATATTACTAGAAACCGTTGCAATGGCTGAAGCCATTGCGATTGACTGCGGAACAGATCTAATGTGGAATTTAGCTGAAAAATCCTTGAAATCCTTGAAACTGTTAAAATACTTTAAACATCTTTGAAACTCCTGAAGTATTTGAAGCTCCTGATATCCTTTAAACTGTTATCCTTTATACTGGTTTACATGTAAAAACCCCTATTAAGTTGCATTATACTGGTTTACATGGAAAAATCCCCATTAAGTTGCATTAGACTGGTTTACATGTAAAAAACCCTATTAAGTTGCATTATACTGGTTTACATGGAAAAATCCCTATTAAGTTGCATTATACTGGTTTACATGTAAAAATCCCTATTAAGTTGCATTATACTGGTTTACATGTAAAAACCCCTATTAAGTTCCATTATACTGGTTTACATGTAAAAACCCCTATTAAGTTCCATTATACTGGTTTACATGTAAAAAACCCTATTAAGTTGCATTATACTGGTTTACATGTAAAAACCCCTATTAAGTTGCATTATACTGGTTTACATGGAAAAATCCCCATTAAGTTGCATTATACTGGTTTACATGAAAAAAACCCTATTAAGTGGCATTATACTGGTTTACATGAAAAAAACCCTATTAAGTTGCATTATACTGGTTTACATGGAAAAATCCCTATTAAGTTGCATTATACTGGTTTACATGGAAAAATCCCTATTAAGTTGCATTATACTGGTTTACATGGAAAAATCCCCATTCAGTTGCATTATACAGGTTTACATGTAAAAACCCCTATTAAGTTGCATTATACTGGTTTACATGGAAAAATCCCTATTAGGTTGCATGATTACACTGAAGTCCTTGAAACTGCTGAAGTCCTTGAAACTGGTGAAGTCCTTGAAACTGTTGAAGTCCTTGAAACTGTTGAAGTCCTTGAAACTCTTGAAACCTTGAAACTGCTGAAGTCCTTGAAACTGTTGAATCATTGAAACTGTTGAATCATTGAAACTGTTGAATCATTGAAACTGTAGAAATGTCTGAAAGAGCTGAAGTCCTATTAAAATGCATGGGCCTATTAAAATGCATTGCAGAATTCTCAATGCAAATTAATGGCAGAATTCCCAAGTCCCGTAGAAAAAAACTGGAAAACTGCAGAACTCTATTTTTTTCTGAAAACTCACAAGTTGTGGAAGCTGAACATGCACAAACTGCAGAAAATGCTGAAAATGTTGAAGAAAATTCTGAAAACTATGAATTTGTGGAAGCCCCATTATAAGTCAATGGGAAAAATCGACCGATTTTTGTCCGATTGCGGAAAAACCGGAAATCGCTGAAGTCCCAAAAGTAATAGCAATAATCTCCCAAACATGTGGAACGTTTTGATGTATAACTTGTGGAAATTGTTGAAAATGTGAAAGCTGTGAAACGTGTCAAAAAAAACTAGAAACTTGCAATGGCTGAAGCCATTGCGATTGACTGCGGAACAGATCTAATGTGGAAATCTGCTAAAAAAAATCCTTGAAATCCTTTAAAAGGCCTTGAAACTGTTAAAATACTTGATAGATATTTGAAACTCCTGAAGTCCTTGAAATTGTTGAAACCTTTAAACTCCTGAAATCCTTGAAACTGTTGAAACATTGAAACTCCTGAAATCCTTGAAACTTTTTTTAAACCTGGAAACTGTTGAAAGTGTGGAAACTCCTGAAATCCTTGAACCTCCTGATATCCTTGAAACTGGTTAAATTCTTAAACAGTTGAAATCCTTGAAACTACTGAATGTATTGAAAGTGTCCTTGAAACTGAAAAATCCCCTCACCGCTGAAACAATTTGGTTCCTGTAACTAAGGAAACCTGGTCTGTGGTCATTATCTGGTGGTGGTCTGAGTCTTCGTTTGGGTCTTGGTCTGGTGGTATAATGCAACCTATTAGGTTGCATTATACTGGTTTACATGGAAAAATCCCTATTAAGTTGCATTATACTGGTTTACATGGAAAAATCCCTATTAAGTTGCATTATACTGGTTTACATGGAAAAATCCCTATTAAGTTGCATTATACTGGTTTACATGGAAAAATCCCTATTAAGTTGCATTATACTGGTTTACATGGAAAAATCCCTATTAGGTTGCATTATACTGGTTTACATGTACAAATCCCTATTAAGTTGCTTTATACTGGTTTACATGTAAAAACCCCTATTAGGTTACATTATAGTGGTTTACATGTAAAAATCCTTATTAAGTTGCATTATACTGGTTTACATGTAAAAACCCCTATTAAGTTCCATTATACTGGTTTACATGTAAAAACCCCTATTAAGTTCCATTATACTGGTTTACATGTAAAAACCCTATTAAGTTGCATTATACTGGTTTACATGAAAAAAACCCTATTAAGTTGCATTATACTGGTTTACATGGAAAAATCCCTATTAAGTTGCATAATACTGGTTTACATGAAAAATCCCCATTAAGTTGCATTATACTGGTTTACATGGAAAAAACCATTAAGTTGCATATACTGTTTACATGAAAAACCCTATTAAGTTGCATTATACTGGTTTACATGAAAAAAAACCTATTAAGTTGAATAATACTGTTTTTACATGTAAAAATATATTTAAGTTCATATAATACTGGTTTACATGTAAAAATACCCCACTTAAGTTTGTCATTATACTGGTTTACATGAAAAAATCCCTATTAAGTTTGCATTATACTGGTTTACATGATAATAAAAAATCCCATTAAGCTGTTGCATTATACTGGTTTACATGGAAAAACCCTATTAAGTTGCATTATACTGGTTTACATGGAAAAACCCTATAAGTTGCATTATACTGGTTTACATGGAAAAACCCTATAAGTTGCATTATACTGGTTTACATGGAAAAACCCTATTAAGTTGCATTATACGGTTTACCCATTATGTTTACATGTGCATTAATTATACTGGTTTACATGGAAAAATCCCCATTAAGTTGCATTATATGGTTTACATGAAAAAAAACCCTATTAAGTTGCATTATACTGGTTTACATTAAAAACCCCTATTAAGTTCCATTATACTGGTTTACATGTAAAAACCCTATTAAGTTGCATTATACTGGTTTACATGTAAAAATCCCTATTAAGTTGCATTATACTGGTTTACATAAAAAAACCCTATTAAGTTGCATTATACTGGTTTACATGGAAAAATCCCTATTAAGTTGCATAATACTGGTTTACATGGAAAAATCCCTATTAAGTTGCATTATACTGGTTTACATGGAAAAAACCCTATTAAGTTGCATTATACTGGTTTACATGGAAAAAACCCTATTAAGTTGCATTATACTGGTTTACATGTAAAAACCCCTATTAAGTTGCATTATACTGGTTTACATGGAAAAATCCCCATTAAGTTGCATTATACTGGTTTACATGAAAAAAAAACCCTATTAAGTTGCATTATACTGGTTTACATGGAAAAAACCCTATTAAGTTGCATTATACTGGTTTACATGGAAAAATCCCTATTAAGTTGCATTATACTGGTTTACATGGAAAAATCCCTATTAGGTTGCATTATACTGGTTTACATGAAAAAACCCTATTAAGTTGCATTATACTGGTTTACATGGAAAAATCCCTATTAAGTTGCATTATACTGGTTTACATGGAAAAATCCCTATTAAGTTGCATTGTACTGGTTTACATGGAAAAAACCCTATTAAGTTGCATTATACTGGTTTACATGGAAAAAACCCTATTAAGTTGCATTATACTGGTTTACATGGAAAAAACCCTATTAAGTTGCATTATACTGGTTTACATGTAAAAACCCCTATTAAGTTGCATTATACTGGTTTACATGGAAAAATCCCCATTAAGTTGCATTATACTGGTTTACATGAAAAAAAACCCTATTAAGTTGCATTATACTGGTTTACATGAAAAAACCCTATTAAGTTGCATTATACTGGTTTACATGGAAAAATCCCTATTAAGTTGCATTATACTGGTTTACATGGAAAAATCCCTATTAGGTTGCATGATTACACTGAAGTCCTTGAAACTGCTGAAGTCCTTGAAACTGCTGAAGTCCTTGAAACTGCTGAAGTCCTTGAAACTGTTGAAGTCCTTGAAACTCTTGAAATCTTGAAACTGCTGAAATCCTTGAAACTGTTGAATCCTTGAAACTGTTGAATCATTGAAACTGTAGAAATGTCTGAAAGAGCTGAAGTCCTATTGATTTGACTGCGGAACCTTCCGCAGTCAACCATTGGTTTTGTATTTCTTTATTCCGTCATTTTTTTTGACACTTTCACAGCTTTCACATTTTCAACAATTTCCACAAGTTATACATCAAAACGTTCCACATGTTTGGGAGATTATTGCTATTACTTTTGGGACTTCAGCGATTTCCGGTTAACTCTACTTACTCTACTCTACTCTGCTCTACTCTACTCTACTCTACGTACTCTACTCTACCCTACCCTTTCACCCTACCTACCCTACTCTACTCTACTCTACTCTATCTACTCTACTCTAATCTACTTACCTACCTACCCTACTCTACTCATACCCTACCCTACTCTAACTCCCCCTACTTGATTGCGTTTCCATTACGCTTTTGTATACTGGAACCGTATCCTGGCAACACTACCCACAAACAAAACCATATTCGAAAATTCCATGGTAACTTGGCAATCACCTGTAAAATTTAGAAACAGTTCATACCCAGTTCGGCATGGATAAAAACCAGGCCAAGAGGCACAAAAGTAGGGGCTTGTAACGGTTAACCAGGGCTTAGCACCGCCCCAACTTGCTCACAGGCTTCTCATTTCCCCTACGCGCTCATAACACGGAGCCATCTAGTTTTATTTACGATCTGATACATATGCTAACATTAGCATTAGCACAACTTTTTGTAAGCTGTACAACAATCACTGATGAAATGGTAGAAACGCAACGCACTGCTAACACAATATATAACTGAAAGATTACCGCTAGTTTCACATCCAAATGTAGTCCGAGCGTAGATAGTCTGAGCGTAGATAGTCTGAGCATAGATAGTCTGAGCGTAGATAGTCTGAGCATAGATAGTCTGAGCGTAGATAGTCTGAGCATAGATAGTCTGAGCATAGATAGTCTGAGCGTAGATAGTCTGAGCGTAGATAGTCTGAGCGTAGATAGTCTGAGCGTAGATAGTCTGAGCATAGATAGTCCGAGCGTAGATAGTCTGAGCATAGATAGTCTGAGCGTAGATAGTCTGAGCATAGATAGTCCGAGCGTAGATAGTCTGAGCATAGATAGTCCGAGCGTAGATAGTCTGAGCATAGATAGTCCGAGCGTACATAGTCCGAGCGTAGATAGTCCGAGCGTAGATAGTCCGAGCGTAGATAGTCTGAGCGTAGATAGTCCGAGTTAGGGATGTAAATCGGTGACCGTTTAACCGGTGGTTGACCGTCACAGCGTTAACCGGTCAAAGCTGTCGGTTAAAAAAAGAGAAAACGGGGAGAGGGGAGGTCTCTTAATAACGCTATTTTAAGCCCTATTTGCACGATGTGACGAGCGGGTTTGTATCTAGCTGTGTGCGCCCATGTATTATAAACTCCGGGACGACTCTCACGCCGCACGCGCCACATATGCACACACGCATGCGTGCACGCACACACACACACACACTTTCCCCCTCTCCGTAACAACGTAACATCCACACGCATCATCTCTCCCCTCTGTTACCGTCAAAGTTGCACACTGGCGCGGGTCAGAACTACATTGGAGCTTACATTTACACACACACACATATACATACACACACACACATACATACACACACACACATACATACATACATACCAGTCTGTCGCGCTCCTCTGTGTCACGGAGCCCAAAGAATTCGCGCAAATACGTATTTCCCCTACATGTTTTGCTGTAGGGGAAACATGTTTGTGTTTATGGTCCTCGGGATCAGCTCCACACACATCACTTGTATTTAAACTTTTGTGAAGACCTGTGAGACGCGGCTCGTCACTCGCTGCTCTGACCATGTGAACGAGCCGTCGTTTGCTGCTGAAAGTTTTGGTATTAACCCGCAGCACAGCAGAATGGGAAGATTAAAAAAGCAGTTCTCTGTGCGCAAAGGTTCCTGGAGCTTTTTGGGTGCCGCTGTCTCGGCTCTGATCCAGTAGAACGCAGAGCTGCACTTATGAGAAGTACGCGGCTCGAAATGGCTGTTATTTCAAAGAACGTGGACTATTTTAAACTACGCGGTTAACCGGTTTCAACCGGTTAATGAGGCTCGGTGGTCGGTCATGAAAATTCATAGTTTTTTACATCCCTAGTCCGAGTATAGATAGTCCGAGGCGGTCCCGCAGGTCTCTCCCATAGACCAGTCTCTCCAGAGGATACGATGTAAGCGAGCTCTGTTCAGGGCTTGGTTTCTTCTTTGATCATGTTTTGGCTTTAGTTCCTCTTCTCTTCCTCACTGTTGTGTGGTTTGGGCTGTTTTGCTGTGTCTGCAGTTACAGCCAGAGGAGTTATAGCCACTTATGCTAACATGCTACTGTGTTTAGCAGCGCTGTAGAGGCTACAGGACGCAGCCTCGTTCTGTGATTGGAGGAGAGCGGGCGTCAAGCTCAGTCTCTACTCAGCACTTTTTACGCCTGAGTTCATACACAGCTGAATCAATAAGCTCAAGTTTTACATTAAATTACGGATTATAAAACAACTTGTAGGTAGTAATGAGCATTTTTATGAACACATTACTTTAATACTATTGTTAGCAATTTTTAAATAATGATCCAATTATTTGTTTTGTTTGTATGAATGTCGCATGGCGCCGTAAAGATGGCGCCGTGGCAAGAGCTCTGGTGTGTGTCGTTGGTGCACACCGGGGTAGTCTTGCACAGTTTTTCCAATGTGGTTTTACTGCAAATGGCAAATAAATGAATCTGAATCTGAATCTGAATCTGATCTGAATGGATGTGTTTCTGCTGCTCTTGGACACCTGAATTTCTCCTCCTGGGATCAATAAATTATCTATCTATCTACTCAGACGCAGGGAGAACATGCAAACTCTTATCGTAACTCCTCTTTCTCTCATTGCTTTGTGAAAACACACTGAAAAAGTCTTTCTGCTGCAGACGACGACGGCGGAAAGACGGTGCACCTTTTGTACGAAGAGGTGGACGAGACCGACGTCGAGATCATCCACGTGCCTTCGCCAGCGCTGGAGGAGCGGAAAGCAGACGCCTACAGATACCCACGCACAGGTCACACAACACACACACACACAGAAACACACACACACACATCAGACCAGAACTCACCACTTTTACTGAATCCAAATCAATTCATTTTTGTGTAGCACTAAATCACAAACTGTAGATTCACCGGAAATACACTGATAAACATAGGAGCCATTGATCCATAGGGAGCGAGAAGAGCGATGTCCTTAAATGTAAATAAATGTCCATAAAACTGCGACTGAGGCGTGAATGCGGACAGTACACATGAGTCAACAATACTGCAAATGTGTCTGAGTATTAGCAACACCGCTGGTTTCCATCTGTAGTCTCTGGGCAAGGTGCCAAGATAAACACTGCCAATATTACAGTCTAAAATGAACACATCACTCCGGATTGTAGCCATTGTAGGCTAATCTGCATCCGTTTCCATTCCCACATTCGCACTCACAAACACACACTCATTCACCCTGAACTAATGCACATGTTTTTAGTGGTAGGGGAAACCGGAGCACCTGGAGGAAACCTACACAGACACAGAGAGATCATGCAAACTGTTCCGACCGGGATTCAAACTCAGAATCTTATTGCTGAGAGGCGAGAGTGCTATCCCCTCAGCCACTGTGCCGCCCCCAAGATTAAAATATTGTTATTGTGGAGATTGTTGTGTCCTTGGGCAAGACACTTAACCCCACTTTGCCTGAAGCTCCCACTGAAAGATCTCAGCTCCTGTGGACCTCCCCGACCCAGAAATGGATTAAGGGGAAGAAAATGGATGGATGGATATTGTGGAGATTGTAAGTTTATGTCCACATCAAACAGAAGACCCTTGGATTGAGTCAAAAACACACAGTGAGGGTAGGACTAGTTTATGTCTGTATGGGAAGAATCTCAGGTCCAGCTCTAGACTTCAAGCTCAACTTTCGAATGGTGTGACTGTTGGAGGCTGTGATGTCACATGAACACAACCAAGTAGGTAATACGATCTGTGTCTTGACTGATTTTTGTATTTCCAGGAAGCAAAAACCCTCAGGCAACGCTCAAATTAGCAGAGATCAAAACGGACCATCAAGGACGAGTGAGAAACTATTGTCCCTGCATTGAGTTAATACTAATGAGGCGCTTTGTTAAAACGTGTGTGTGTCTCTGTGTGTGTGTGTGTGTGTGTGTGTGTGTGTGTGTGTGTGTGTGTGTGTGTGTGTCTCTGTGTGTGTGTGTGTGTGTGTCTCTGTGCGTGTGTGTGTGTGTGTGTCTCTCTGTGTGTGTGTGTGTGTGTGTGTGTCTCTGTGTCTCTCTGTGTGTGTGTGTGTGTCTCTGTGTGTGTGTGTGTGTCTCTGTGTGTGTGTGTGTCTCTGTGTGTGTGTGTGTGTGTGTGTGTGTGCGCGTGTGTGTATGCGTGCGTGTGTGTGTGTGTCTGTGTGTGTGTGTGTCTCTGTGCGTGTGTGTGTGTGTGTGTGTGTGTCTCTGTGTGTGTGTGTGTGTGTGTCTCTGTGTCTCTGTGTGTGTGTGTGTCTCTGTGTGTCTCTGTGTGTGTGTGTGTCTCTGTGTGTGTGTGTGTGTGTGTGTGTGTGCGCGTGTGTGTCTCTGTGTGTGTCTATGCGTGCGTGTGTGTGTGTGTGTCTCTGTGTGTGTGTCTCTGTGCGTGTGTGTCTGTGTGTGTGTGTCTCTGTGTGTGTGTGTGTGTGTCTCTGTGCGTGTGTGTGTGTGTCTCTGTGCGTGTGTGTGTGTGTGTGTGTGTGTCTCTGTGCGTGTGTGTGTGTCTCTGTGTGTGTGTGTGTGTCTCTGCGTGTGTGTCTTTGCGTGCGTGTGTGTGTGTGTGTCTCTGTGTGTGTGTGTGTCTCTGTGCGTGTGTGTCTCTGTGTGTGTGTGTGTGTGTGTGTGTCTCTGTGCGTGTGTGTGTGTGTGTCTCTGTGCGTGTGTGTGTGTGTGTGTGTGTCTCTGTGCGTGCGTGTGTGTCTTTGCGTGTGTGTCTGTGCGTGCGTGTGTGTGTGTGTCTCTGTGCGTGTGTGTGTGTCTCTCTGTGTGTGTGTGTGTGTCTCTGTGCGTGTGTGTGTGTGTGTGTCTGTGTGTGTGTCTCTGCGTGTGTGTGTGTGTCTGTGTGTGTGTGTGTCTCTGCGTGTGTGTGTGTGTCTCTGTGTGTGTGTGTCTCTGTGTGTGTGTGTGTCTCTGCGTGTGTGTGTGTGTCTCTGTGTGTGTGTGTGTCTCTGCGTGTGTGTGTGTGTCTCTGTGTGTGTGTGTGTCTCTGCGTGTGTGTGTGTGTCTCTGTGTGTGTGTGTGTCTCTGCGTGTGTGTGTGTGTCTCTGTGTGTGTGTGTGTCTCTGCGTGTGTGTGTGTGTCTCTGTGCGTGTGTGTGTCTCTGTGTGTGTGTGTGTCTCTGTGTGTGTGTGTGTCTCTGTGCGTGTGTGTGTCTCTGTGCGTGTGTGTGTCTCTGTGCGTGTGTGTGTCTGTGTGTGTGTGTGTCTCTGCGTGCGTGTGTGTGTCTCTGTGTGTGTGTGTGTCTCTGCGTGCGTGTGTGTGTCTCTGTGTGTGTGTGTGTCTCTGTGCGTGTGTGTGTCTCTGTGTGTGTGTGTGTCTCTGTGCGTGTGTGTGTCTGTGTGTGTGTGTGTGTCTCTGCGTGTGTGTGTGTGTCTCTGTGTGTGTGTGTGTCTCTGCGTGTGTGTGTGTGTCTCTGTGCGTGTGTGTGTGTGTGTCTGTGTGTGTGTGTGTCTCTGTGTGTGTGTGTGTGCAGATCCTCAGTGCGCAGGAGAAGGAGCTGGTGGTTCCCTTCACCTCCCTGTTCCCTCAGACTGAATACATTGCTCGGGTTGGCTGGACGAGCGACGGAAAATAGTGAGTGACGTGATTTTTTTTTTAGAACTTGTTTTAATTATAACTATTTCATCCTTTCAATGGCGTTAAAACTGAAAATGAAGAAGTACATTGTATCAGTATAATTTGTAATGGTCAAAACTAATACATATATTTAATCTTTAAATTCTGTAAACTTCAAGCGGCCCACGGTTTCCACTGCATCTTCATACTTTCTCAATTTAGAGTCATTTATTCTGCCTTTTGTGTACATTTATCTTCATACTAATTCAAAGTACTATGGATTTTCTTCTGGTTATTCTTTATTTAGACTCATAAAAGCCTTGTTTTCAACTTGTTAGATTTTAAGTATTAGTTTAACCACTGTCCCAGAGCCTTATGCTGCCAACATGTACAGACGTAAACATACAACTATATATTATTTGCTCTGAAAAATATAAAGAGAGATTGTATTTTATTATAGTACAGAGTTATTAATCTTGTGCTCATCATTCTTACTATTCTGTAACGTTTAATGCATCTCTGAGATTCCCCCACTGTGGGACAAATAAAAGATCTTAATGTTTACACTGTGGCTCCCTCTAGTGGCTGGGCAGTGCTGTTGGACCGCAGTCAGAGGAGGCTGCAGCTCGTCCTCCTCCCTCCCGCGCTCTTCGTCCCGGTCACAGAGGACGCTTCAGTGCGACAGGAGCATTTAGAGGCCACGCCCCCGAACGCACAGCCCTACATCATCTACGAGGAGACCACCGACGTCTGGATCAACGTACGACGACTTTCTCTGTTATGACAGTGTTTTTCAACCCGTTTGTCTCACTCACTCACTCACTCCACTTCAAAACGAGACCAAAAACTCAAGACAATTGGGTAGAATTCAGCTTAAAAAGTGAATTTCTTGTTGAATAGACTTAAAAGTGATAAGACCAGGGAGACTTCAATTGTATTTTATATGGAGGCAACATATGGGGGCAACAGTAGCTCAGTTGGTAGAGCACTGGCCTTTGAGCCTGAAGGTCGTGGGTTCAAGCCCACCATGGGACCTTCTCCACCGACTCCCACTGATCACTGCTGTCGTTGTGTCCTTGGGCAAGACACTTAACCCTGCATTGCCCGAAGCCCCCGCTGAAAAATCAAGGCCGTATTGTCACTGACAGAGCAGCCGTCCTCCTGTGGACTCAGCACCTGCAGAGGATCAGTGAGGGGCTGGTGCTATGTGAATTGGGTGCAGCTCTGACTGCCACCCCCCCGACCCAGAAATGGATGAAGGGGAAGAAGATGGATGGATGGATGGAGGCAAGGTAAAAAGATAGAAAAATATCATTAAAATCATCACGATATATTAAAAAGAGTAACGATAAAATCCTTCAGTTGTTGCAGCAAAACAGATCTGGATTTGAACATTGTCAAAGAAGAAGCCTGTCTCACATTTTCAGGAAGACTGTTCCAGATTTTAGCTGCATGAATCTGAAATGCTGCCTCCTCATGGGTAGTCCTGACTCTGGGACCAGCACGAGGCCAGTCCCTGTGCTCCTCAGAGTCCCAGCAGGAGGCCAGTCCCTGTGCTCCTCAGAGTCCCAGCACCCACATGAGAACGTGTCAGTTAGTAGTTAGTTAGATGTAGAAAAATAACTAATAACTAACTAATAAAAATAACTAATAACTAAGTGTAATAATAAAAACCAATTAAGAGCTAATTAACCATAAAGTATCCACTAACTAGCATTTAATTAGCTGTTAATTAATGAGGACTACAAAATCTTGCTGGTGCGGCTTATATACAGGTGAGCTTAATATTCCGGCAAGTACAGTATATTTCTCATTTTCAAATAAATTCTCGGCTAAACCTCAAGCCACAAACTGGTTGAAAATCTCTGGTCTCTTCATGATTTTTGTTTTGGATTCTCATTGCATCGCTAACTTTACCCTTTTTTTCTTTTTTTTTTACAGGTTCACGACATATTTTATCCTTTTATCCAAACGTCGGACGAGGAGTTTAGCTTCATTTGGGTGAACGAGTCCAAAACGGGATTTAGCCATTTGTATAAAGTTACGTCTCTATTTCAACCGCGGTGTTACCGGTGGGCAGAGGGGTACCAGCATTCAGCAGGTAAGTCTCCCAAGATGGTATATGTTGATGGTATATGTTTACAGTAGGGATAGATACGAAATTATGGTATTTTTGTCTAAATTTTAAAGAAAAAAAACGTCTAAATATGCCAACTTTTGTCTTGACATTTGGGGACACATATAAAACACACAGATGTGATTTAAAATGATAATATTACACACTGTCGCTTTGTAAGTACAACTAATAACAGATCCCGTCAGACCTTTTGAAGCTAAGCAGGACAGGGCCTGGTCAGTACTGTGATGGGAGACCTCTGGGACACTTCACGCCAGGTGCCACAGTGGAGCGGCTGTAAAGTGCCAAACAGATTCAGATTAATTTATTTGCCATTTGCAGTAAAACCACATCGGAATACATTTGCAAAAGTTCCCAGTGTGCACAAGACAAATACATACATAAAATAATATTAAAAGTACAAAAATAAAACAAATAAAACGGTAAACAATTGTTACTGTGAAATCAATCGGCTAAACATTTTCAATACAAGAGCAAGATCATTAAAGTGCTCTGTTCAAACTGATAACAACCTGTGGGAAGAAGCTGTTAAGCCTAGTTTATACTCGCGCGGAGTGACGTGACGTCACTTGCACAACGCGTTGGTCACTGCAAGGCCCTTACGTCGCCTTACTACGTAAGGGTTGCCGCAAGGAAGCTCCGCTGTGATTGGTCCGTGTGTGTATTGGAAGGAAGCATGAAGCGGCTGCAGCAGGAGCATGAAGGAGGCACTATGGAGCAGAGAGCTTTGTGCTTCGAAGGAAAAGCAGTTTGGGCTCAGAGCCTGATACACAGGAGACTGTGGACTATCTAACATATATATAACGTATATCTAACATATATATAACTTATACCAGATTCAGATTCAGTTTATTTGAAATTTGCAGTAAAAACACCGCATAGGAATACATTACGGGCGGCACGGTGGCTGAGTGGATAGCACTCTCGCCTCTCAGCAAGAAGGTCCTGGGTTCGAATCCCGGTCGGACCAGGGCCTTTCTGAGTGGAGTTTGCATGTTCTCCCCGTGTCTACGTAGGTTTCCTCCGGGTACTCCGGTTTCCCCTACCACTAAAAATATGTACAATAGTTCTGGCATGCGCCTCCTGTACTGGCCACTCCGCTCCCATCTCTGTGTGGAGTGAGAGACAAATGCCCAAAATTAACAATTGTAAACCGCTTTGAGACTCAGATCTGCAGTGAAAAGGCGGTATATAAATAAAAACTTACTTACTTACTTACTATTAGCAAAAAGTCTCCAGTGTGCACAGACAAATACAGACATAAAACAACATTAAAAGACAGAAATAAAACAAATAAGTTACAGTAGTAGTTCATCACCACTGTGTTTGGAGTGAAAGAGACTTTGAGTGTCCAGAAAACTCTACATAAAAATGATTTATTTTTATTATTAACATCGCAGCTGAATACCTGATGCTATCGTCTCATCCCTCGTTGATTCTCATAAAACGACATCATAACGTTGACAACACTACAAATTGATTTTGCAGGAGATTTCACATGTGCAATCAAGGAGGACGTCACGTTGACTTGTGGCGAATGGGAAGTTCTGGCGAGACACGGATCGAAGGTTGAAAAAACACAGCAATTCTTAAGCCTAAATGTGTAATTCTAATTCTCCTTTCGTAACTATTGTTTTGGACCCTCTCTTTTTTCCCCCTCAGATCTGGGTGAACGAGTCGACCAAAGTGGTGTACTTCCAGGGCACGAAAGACACGCCCCTGGAGCACCACTTGTACGTAGTGAGCTATGACTGTCCGGGAGAGGTGGTCAGATTAACCAAACCTGGCTTCTCCCACAGCTGCTCCGTCAGCCAGGTCTGTACCGTACACTGCACACGGATGGACAATGGCCAGAGGGAGAGAGAGGCCAGAGGGAGAGAGAGGCCAGAGAGAGAGACAGGCCAGAGGGAGAGAGACCAGAGGGAGAGAGGCCAGAGAGAGAGAGGCCAGAGGGAGAGAGGCCAGAGGGAGAGAGGCCAGAGGGAGAGAGGCCAGAGGGAGAGAGAGAGAGAGGCCAGAGGGAGAGAGGCCAGAGGGAGAGAGAGAGAGGCCAGAGAGAGAGAGGCCAGAGGGAGAGAGAGAGAGAGAGGCCAGAGAGAGAGAGAGAGGCCAGAGAGAGAGAGAGAAGCCAGAGAGAGACAGAGGCCAGAGGGAGAGAGACAGAGGCCAGAGGGAGAGAGACAGAGAGGCCAGAGGGAGAGAGGCCAGAGGGAGAGAGAGAGAGAGGCCAGAGAGAGGCCAGAGGGAGAGAGAAAGAGGCCAGAGGGAGAGAGAAAGAGGCCAGAGGGAGAGAGAAAGAGGCCAGAGGGAGAGAGAGAGAGGCCAGAGGGAGAGAGGCCAGAGAGAGAGAGAGAGAGACCAGAGAGAGAGAGAGAGGCCAGAGGGAGAGAGAGAGAGGCCAGAGAGAGAGGCCAGAGAGAGAGGCCAGAGAGAGAGAGAGAGAGGCCAGAGGGAGAGAGAGAGAGGCCAGAGGGAGAGAGAGAGAGGCCAGAGGGAGAGAGAGAGAGGCCAGAGGGAGAGAGAGAGAGGCCAGAGGGAGAGAGGCCAGAGAGAGACAGAGAGAGAGGCCAGAGGGAGAGAGAGAGAGGCCAGAGGGAGAGAGAGAGAGAGGCCAGAGAGAGAGAGGCCAGAGAGAGAGGTCAGAGAGAGAGGCCAGAGAGAGAGAGGTCAGAGAGAGAGGCCAGAGAGAGAGAGAGAGGCCAGAGAGAGAGAGAGAGGCCAGAGAGAGAGAGAGAGAGGCCAGAGGGAGAGAGAGAGGGGCCAGAGGGAGAGAGAGAGAGAGGCCAGAGGGAGAGAGAGAGAGAGGCCAGAGGGAGAGAGGCCAGAGGGAGAGAGAGAGGCCAGAGGGAGAGAGAGAGAGAGGCCAGAGGGAGAGAGGCCAGAGGGAGAGAGAGAGAGGCCAGAGAGAGACAGAGAGAGAGGCCAGAGGGAGAGAGAGAGAGGCCAGAGAGAGAGAGAGAGAGAGAGAGAGAGAGAGGCCAGAGGGAGAGAGGCCAGAGGGAGAGAGAGAGAGGCCAGAGAGAGACAGAGAGAGAGGCCAGTGGGAGAGAGAGAGAGGCCAGAGGGAGAGAGAGAGAGGCCAGAGGGAGAGAGAGAGAGAGGCCAGAGGGAGAGAGAGAGAGGCCAGAGGGAGAGAGAGAGGCCAGAGAGAGAGGCCAGAGAGAGAGGCCAGAGAGAGAGGCCAGAGGGAGAGAGAGAGAGGCCAGAGGGAGAGAGAGAGAGGCCAGAGGGAGAGAGAGAGAGGCCAGAGGGAGAGAGAGAGGCCAGAGGGAGAGAGAGAGAGGCCAGAGGGGGAGAGGCCAGAGGGGGAGAGGCCAGAGGGGGAGAGGCCAGAGGGAGAGAGAGAGAGGCCAGAGGGAGAGAGAGGCCAGAAAGAGAGAGAGAGAGACCAGAGAGAACTTTCCAGAACCGACTGCTCTCATTCAAACCAATGGAATCCTTTGAACATTCTGGTCCATGATTATTTTCTGTAGGGCTCAAGATATATATAAAAAAAATCATTATCGCGATATTGGTTCGTGCAATATCGAATACTAAACACTCATATTGAATATTGCTCTAATTTACGATATCGTGCAGCCATAATTCTCTGATTAATTTCCCCCAAATAACGTTTAGTTTTTCAGTAGGTTTATGAAATGTAGGTCATCTATACGTTTTTTTTTAACCTTAACTCACTTTTAACAAGTGCTAAAACTGGTGAATATAACTTGAAATGCAGCAAAACGACGTCGGTTGAAAGGCTATTGCTAACTGCTAACGGTAAACAACGTGTTGCCATGGTAACTAGCCTTAGCAAAGACTCACATTTAAAAACTAAAATCTGATTTCGTAAAAACAATGACATAGAAATAAACAAGATATTGTTTTTTGAGAGTTTGATTGTATTACTTTGTCATTTACTGGTTTTAAAATGAATCTGATTGAATATCTCTTCTCTCTTTCTTCCTTCAGAACTTTGACTTCTTCATTAGCCACTACAGTAACGTGAGCACGCCCCCTTGTGTCCACGTGTACAAACTGAACAGCAGAGAAGAGGATTCGCTCGGTCTGGTCCCAGAGTTTTGGGCCAGCATGATGGAGTCCCCAGGTAAAGACACAGCTGAGGTTTAGAGCAGAAAAGGTATTGTGTGGCCCCCTGGTGGACACAAGCTGTACTGTCAGTGCGGCCCTTAATGACCTTATGAGAGTCTGGGCTAATATGAAAATACATCGTTTTAAAGCTAATTTTATTGAGGGGAAAAACAGCATTTATACTATCATAAAGATTTAACCTTGCATGCAATAAGCAATAATTCAAAGTAGACTTCAATTCCAGCAGCTGGACTCATTTTGTTCATAGAAATGTATTAAATTACATCAAACTCATATTCAATTAAATTATTTCGTCTAAACTCATGATTATAAAAAGTCACAGATACAGACTAGAAAACTTTCCACAAACACTGGATTCTTTGTTTTCCTGTTTCTGTCTCTGTTTCAAGCCCAAACTTTAACTTTCTCTGTTAATGTTAAAGAAAGAGAAGATGCACAGATTAAAATATAGCAGTATATTTTTCACAAGAGTTTCGTCCCATATTGCCCTGAGCCTTCCTTTCTTCCTGCAGGTTGCCCAGGAGATTACAACCCACCAGAGATTTTTGACTTTGCGGGGAAGTCTGGCTTTCAGCTTTATGGGATGGTGTACAAGCCTCACAACCTGCAGCCGGGACGGAAACACCCCACTGTGCTCTTCGTCTACGGGGGTCCACAGGTGAGTGCTCCTCTGCTGCCAGCTAATGTTAGGGTCAGGCCCAAGCCTCGTTCTACAGTCTGAGTCCTGGATCTATTCTCTGTCTGGCTCAGGGAGAGGATCCTGCCTCATGTGGGCCTTCCCGAGGTTTCTCACTTTTCTCCCACTGGGTTTTTAGAGTTGTTTCGAGCCGATGCAGGAGGGTTTAAGGACAGTGATGATGATCCAGGACATTGGTCTCTGCTCATGGACCAATGGCTCTTCGTGTTTTTATCAGTGTTTTTCCTGTGTTCAAATTGTTTGATTCTCTGGATCTAAGGCCCTCCAGGTGTGAGCGCCCTAAGAAAAGTGCCTACCCATAGGGGATTGCACTCACAGGATATTCTCCCTGAGAATTGGGACACCCCTGGATCTAGGGGACAATATGCTAATGACGCAGCAGACGTGTTCCACGTCTGATTTCACCACAGATAAGATTTGACACAGATATGACTTAAAGAAACACAGTATTTATTAAAATGAGACGTTTTAAAATCTCTCTCATTTGAAGATTTGTTCTAATTAGGTACAGAACGCACACACAAACACACAGACACACATATACACACACATACGCGCACAGAGACGTACCACAGACAGAGACGGGTACAGCCGCGGATCAAGTAAACTGTGTCAAAGCGATGAACTACATCATGGATCTATAATAATAACATGGATCTATAATAATAACATGGATCTATAATAATAACATAAAAACTCTGAATGACTCGCACACGCCTCGGAGCTTCCTTACGTTCAGCACAAACTTGCGCCCGTGTGTTTCATATTGTTTCTTTCATTGTGGCGCAACTTTGCCCGACAGCTGCTTTTCCAACAACTATTGTAATGCATCATGGGATCACCCTCGCTCGCAAGTGAGCCCTCGACTTCACATGCGTGAGGGTGGTTTTTAGGGGTGTGAAGGCTTTCGCCTCTTCTCCCTAAGTATTGGGACACCCTACAACCCCCGCGGGCACGCGCAAACTCTAGGGCAAGGGTGCTTTTTAAGGGTGAGAATTGGAACGAGGCTTAAATGATTTGGCGTATTATTCATAACTACAGTTGTTGATTATCAACATTATTCCTATTTACAGCCCCACATTGTTGGGTGACCTAAACACAACCACCACAAAGCTGTTTGATTTTCTCTAGAAGTGTAGGAGGCTGAGGCCACATGTGGTTTGTTTGTTTCACTGCAGAAGCTGCTGAGTCACACCTGCACCGACGAGGTGTGAGAAACACAGCCCTGAACTTTAACTGAACTCTTTGAAGTCGTTCGTTTCATTCTGAATTAAACTCGAATTTATAACCACACAACTTATTGATCTTGGTATTGGTCTGGATAGCACTCTCGCTTCTCAGCAAGAAGGTCCTGGGTTCGAATCCCGGTCGGAACAGGGCCTTTCTGAGTGGAGTTTGCATGTTCTCCCCGTGCCTGCATCTTTTTACACCTCTACGGGTGTAAAAAGATGCATCTTTTTACAATGTCTGAATGTTATGAGTGAGTGAAAGGAAAAATACTCAGAACAGTGTGAAGTGCTTTGGGTGTTGGTCTGTAAAATGCGTTATATAAATAAACGTTATGTATAATTGGCCTAGACTAAGATAAGTTAGTTAGATTGTTGCAGCGCACTTACAGGACAGTAGTAAGAACACACCACATACAGGACAGCGGTTGCCTCAGTCCAGCCTCAGTCCAGCCTCAGTCCAGCCTCAGTCCAGCCTCAGTGCAGCCTCAGTCCAGCCTCAGTCCAGCCTCAGTCCAGCCTCAGTCCAGCCTCAGTCCAGCCTCAGTGCAGCCTCAGTCCAGCCTCAGTCCAGCCTCAGTCCAGCCTCAGTCCAGCCTCAGTCCAGCCTCAGTCCAGCCTCAGTCCAGCCTCAGTCCAGCCTCAGTCCAGCCTCAGTCCAGCCTCAGTCCAGCCTCAGTCCAGCCTCAGTGCAGCCTCAGTGCAGCCTCAGTGCAGCCTCAGTGCAGCCTCAGTCCAGCCTCAGTCCAGCCTCAGTCCAGCCTCAGTCCAGCCTCAGTCCAGCCTCAGTCCAGCCTCAGTCCAGCCTCAGTCCAGCCTCAGTCTAGCCCCAACCCTGACCCAGACCACAGCGTTAGACTTCTCTCAGATCTGGGTTTGTGTTCCCAGCAGTGATAGTAGTATTTCCGATGTATTTGGTGTAAACATGAAATGATCGGTGTGAGGTTGTGACTGATAACGTTGGTTTCTCACTGACGCCACATTCACCGCAGCGTTTGCTTCACATGAGAAAGCGTCTGCTCTTTTTTGTGTCAAGTTAGATAAAAGATAAAAAGTAAAAAAAATGTTTAATTTATGTATTAAGGTTGAGTTCAGATTTTGTTTGTTGATAACGCCGTTCGTGAGGACTAATAGGGCACATAGACTCAGTATGTTGTTATGCTTGGATGTGCGTGTGTTTGTGTCTTTCTCTCTGTGTGTGTGTGTGTGTTTCTATCTGTGTGTGTGTCTGTGTGTGTGTGTTTCTGTGCGTGCGCGTGTGCCTGTGTGTCTGTGTGTTTCTATATGTGTGTGTCTGTGTGTGTTTGTGTCTTTCTCTGTGTGTCTGTCTGTGTGTGTGTGTGTTTCTATCTGTGTGTGTCTGTGTGTTTGTGTGTGCGTGTGTGTGTCTGTGTGTCTGTGTGTTTGTGTCTTTCTCTGTGTGTGTCTGTCTGTGTGTGTGTGTGTGTGTGTGTGTGTGTGTTTCTATCTGTGTGTGTCTGTCTGTGTGTGTGTGTCTGTCTGTAAGTAAGTAAGTAGAAAGTAATGTTTATTTATATACCGCCTTTCACAGACCAGAGTCACAAAGCGGTTTACAATTGTTGTTATTTTTTGGGCATTTGTCTCTCACTCCACACAGAGATGGGAGCGGAGTCGCCGAACAGGAGGCACATGCCAGAACTATTGTACATATTTTTAGTGGTAGGGGAAACCGGAGTACCCGGAGGAAACCTACGCAGACACGGGGAGAACATGCAAACTCCACTCAGAAAGGCCCTGGTCCGACTGGGATTCGAACCCTGGACCTTCTGTGTGTGTGTTTCTATCTGTGTGTGTGTCTGTGTGTGTGTGTGTGTGTGGTTTACATGCTTCTTTAGATGTTCATGATTTTTCCGTTCCATCCAAATACAATTGTGTGAATTCTGTGGCCCTTGTGAATATTTGTGTGTTTTCTTTTTGACACTAATCCATAAACTAGTTTGTAATTTCATTACCTCTGTGATGGAGTTAACCTGCTTTTCTGGATTAGATTTTACAATTTTACATCAATAACAGTTGGTTTATGGTGTTTTATTCTAGATTATTTATTATTTTTTATCCAACCTGTTTTTGGTTCTTCTGTTAAACTTAAAAATGATCTTACATTTATTTAAAAAACATTTTGTTTTTATGTCCTTGTTGACACACATGAGTCCGGCCTGAGTCCGGCCTGAGTCCGGCCTGAGTCCGGCCTGAGTCCGGCCTGAGTCCGGCCTGAGTCCGGCCTGAGTCCGGCCTGAGTCCGGCCTGAGTCCGGCCTGAGTCCGGCCCAAATTATTATCTTCCCAAAACAACTAAAGCAGTGGAGAAATGAAGACACCCAAAAGTGAAAGTTGCAATGTGTTTATTTTTTTGTCTTTTTTTGCAATACTCAGAAGTTAATGTAATCTAATCTAATGTAAAAGAGTTGGACCAGCTCCGACTGTTGCTAACATTCTCCGTTCAGTTGATCATTGATCCACTGACTGAAGGCGAAGACGTCCGTGTAGACGTTGGGGAATTTATTCTTTGAACGTTCTGAATAATCACATTTATTCGCTTTCTCGTTGTGGGACACGATGCCGACCACGACTCCTCCGCACATCAGAGGGCCTCCAGAGTCAGTCTGAAAGAGATTACAGTTACTTTAGAACTGAGCTGTCAAACTCATTTTTGGATGTTTTTTTCTATCAGGTTTGGATTCAACTACAACTGGGCAACTATTTTAAGAAATGTAATTTGAAGATTCATAGTTAAATATAAAACAATGAATCTTGCGTCTAACTTTCCTTCTCATTACATGTTATTTAACTTTTACAGGATTGTTTTCATGAGAGCTTTTAAAATGAAGTATAACATGCCATACTGTAAGTTACTGTGATAATGATAAATTAAAATCAGTTCGGGGACCACTAAGAATGGTCTCACGGGCTGGATTTGGACCACGGGCCTAAGTTTGACCTGTCTGGTTTAGAAAGTTAAGAGGACAAGCTTATACAGTACAGACCAAAAGTTTGGACACACCTCATTCACAGAGTTTTTATTTTCATGATTATGAAAATTATAGATTCACACTGAAGGCCTCAAACCTATGAATTAAATCATGGTTCATTTTTATTTTAGTATGTACATAATTCCAGTGAAACCATGCCTTGTATTCTGGTTCTTCAAAGTAGAACCTTTTGCTCTGATACTGCTTCACTCTTGGCATTCTCTGGATGAGCTTCAAGAGGACCTGAAATGGTCTTCAACAGTCCATGATGCTTAGCCCATGTTGGTCCCTTCACTCTGGGGTCCAGCCCCAAAACCACTGGACTGGGTTCAGGTTCGGTGACTGGTCATGTGGCCCAGCACCATCACTCTCCTTATTGGTCTAACAGCCCTTACACAGCCTGGTGCGGGTCTACAGTCAATAGTCATGAAAAGAGAGGACACTAATTGAATGAGAAAGTGTGTCCAAACTGTCAACTGTTACTTCTTATGATTGAAAAGAAATTGGCCACATGTGAAATCCCACGTTGCCCAATTTGAGATTGATAAAGTCTATCTTATCTTACATACGCCAGACATAATCATTTCCCATTTCATTAGTGAACCTATAAATGAGTGTGGTGTGACTGAGCACCTGACAGAATCCAGTATTGGTGCTGGCTCCTCCGGCGCAGATGGTCTTGTCCGGGATTTTGGTCCAGACTTCTTTGCACTTGTTCCAGTCGATGATAGTGACTTGAGTTTTCTTCAGTTCATTCGAAGGTTGTTTGCTTGTGTTGTCTGTGTACCCCCATCCTGCCACCTCACAGTCTCCTGAGACTCCGCCATTATTGGCAAAACCAATGGTTTTGATCTTGCCTTCAGCTTTTCGAGACAGCTGTGGGAATGTTCAGGTCAAAATGGTTAATGTTAAAGCTCGGACACCTATCACAGTATTAAAAACAATCTTGAGTTTTCTTCTACCACTGGTTTTCACATGTGGTTTTGGCCGGTCGCTTTTTAAGACCAGCTTTCTAAAGCCCCGTCCACACGTTGCCGGGTATGTGCTAAACCGTAGATTTTTTTCTTCGTTTGCACCTGACATCCACTTAACAACGCATCATAAACCAATATTGAAAAAAACTCTGGACAAAGTGGAGATTTTTGAAAACTCCGTTTAACGACAACCAAACAAAACGTGCAACCTCCGATCACTGAAGAAGGATCTTACTGCCTTAAAAACTGTTCACTGCTGCGTGGTTCACTGCTGCAGTGGTTCACAGCTGCAGTGGTTCACAGCTGCAGTGGTTCACAGCTGCAGTGGTTCACAGCTGCAGTGGTTCACAGCTGCAGTGGTTCACAGCTGCAGTGGTTCACAGCTGCAGTGGTTCACAGCTGCAGCGGTTCACTGCTGCAGTGGTTCACAGCTGCAGTGGTTCACAGCTGCAGCGGTTCACAGCTGCAGCGGTTCACTGCTGCAGCGCTGCAGCGGTTCACTGCTGCAGTGGTTCACAGCTGCAGCGGTTCACTGCTGCAGCGCTGCAGCGGTTCACTGCTGCAGTGGTTCACAGCTGCAGCGGTTCACTGCTGCAGTGGTTCACAGCTGCAGTGGTTCACAGCTGCAGCGGTTCACAGCTGCAGCGGTTCACTGCTGCAGCGCTGCAGCGGTTCACTGCTGCAGCGCTGCAGCGGTTCACTGCTGCAGTGGTTCACAGCTGCAGCGGTTCACAGCTGCAGCGGTTCACTGCTGCAGTGGTTCACAGCTGCAGCGGTTCACAGCTGCAGCGGTTCACTGCAGTGAACATCCTCCACATCAGAGAGCAGCAAAGTGATCAGGATTTGTTCGCATAATACTTTTCTCAACCAATTCTGTTGGGTATTTTATGAAAAAAAAAACTTGGGGACCCCAGCTTTAAATAGCAGTTAAAAAGCAAAGCAGTCTCTATGACTTTTCTCAGACGTAACTTATTTGTTGGTTTTATGACTGAATGCGAACCTTAAGGAGCATGATGTCGTTGGCTAAAGTTTCACTGCCGTAGGATGGATGTTTGCATTTCTTTGCCACGCTGTATTTCATCCCATTGTTGGCTTCGTCCAGACGATGTGTCCCCAGCACCACAGTGTCGACCCTGAAATAACACACATGTATTAGCCTCATGAACGGTAACACACATGTATTAGCCTCATGAACGGTAACACACATGTATTAGCCTCATGAACGGTAACACACATGTATTAGCCTCATGAACGGTAACACACATGTATTAGCCTCATGAACGGTAACACACATGTATTAGCCTCATGAACGGTAACACACATGTATTAGCCTCATGAACGGTAACACACATGTATTAGCCTCATGAACGGTAACACACATGTATTAGCCTTATGAACGGTAACACACATGTATTAGCCTCATGAACGGTAACACACATGTATTAGCCTTATGAACGGTAACACACATGTATTAGCCTCATGAACGGTAACACACATGTATTAGCCTCATGAACGGTAACACACATGTATTAGCCTCATGAACTGTAACACACATGTATTAGCCTCATGAACTGTAACACACATGTATTAGCCTCATGAACTGTAACACACATGTATTAGCTTAGATACTGAGAGAGAGACTTGTGGAAAGACCTCTTACTTCTCGCAGTGTGCCGCCGTCAGTACAAAGTTGTCTCGGATCAAGGAGCCTCCACACATGTGGATCCCGCCGGACTGAAGCGAGGCCATGTGCTGCATTTCATGTTGACCCGCAGGCCGACCATTTATGATCTTTCCTCCGTTTGCTGAATAAACAAAGATAATGTTATGATTGTAAAACGTAGAAATGTGAAGTCTCGGTCTCACCTCCTCGACCTCCAGTCCCCAGCAGCAGCAGCAGCAGCATCAGCTTGTGGTGAGGAGACATGGTGGTGGCTGTGGACCGGTCTGAAGTCTGGAGTCCTTTTATACAGCTCTGCCTCCTCCTGCCTCCCCCTGCCTCCTCCTGCCTCCTCCTGCCTCCCCCTGCCTCCCCCTGCCTCCCCCTGCCTTCTCCTGCCTCCTCCTGCCTCCCCCTGCCTCCCCCTGCCTCCCCCTGCCTCCCCCTGCCTCCCCCTGCCTTCTCCTGCCTCCCCCTGCCTCCCCCTGCCTCCCCCTGCCTTCTCCTGCCTCCCCCTGCCTCCCCCTGCCTCCCCCTGCCTCCCCCTGCCTCCCCCTGCCTCCCCCTGCCTCCCCCTGCCTTCTCCTGCCTCCTCCTGCCTCCCCCTGCCTCCTCCTGCCTCCCCCTGCCTCCCCCTGCCTCCCCCTGCCTCCCCCTGCCTTCTCCTGCCTCCCCCTGCCTCCCCCTGCCTCCCCCTGCCTTCTCCTGCCTCCCCCTGCCTCCCCCTGCCTTCTCCTGCCTCCCCCTGCCTTCTCCTGCCTCCCCCTGCCTCCTCTTGCCTACGTTCTACATCCTCTCATGCTATACTGATGGTATACTGATGCTAAACTGATGCTAATCTGCTGTTATCTCCTGTGCGTGCCACTTCATATCTGCATCACTGCTATCGACAAACCAGCACCACATGTTTGCTACGGCCATTTATAAACATTTATCTTTTCATCACTCTTTCCTCCAAATACTTCACTTATTCACTTTACTGCTGATTTGTTTTTAGTTTTTAATTTCTTCCATAAATAAAATGTAAAATTAGAAAAAAATACTCGACTACAAAAGGGTCTAAATGGCCCAGAGCCGGTCAAGTAAGGAAAAACCATCAAAATGCAGTTCGAAAACATTTTTTGGGTTTTCCTTTTAAACACTGTGGCGTCAATTCAACCTGAGGATAGCAGAAGAATACAATAATTTTATTATTTACCATTTGCAGTAAAACCACATTGGAAAAACTGCAAGACTGCCCAGTGTGCACCAGACAGAGAAGACGAAGTGTGTGGAGCTGATCTAGAGCCAAAGACCTTCAGCACAAACATGTTTCCCACGTGTTCAGACCAATAGTATTATAGATCCATGGTTCTGACTGGGAGCCGCGTCACTGCAACCCTAACGCAGATGAGCATCTGATATTTTTCCCGAAAATGAGATGCATCAAATACCGGGAAAAGACGATGAATTTCCCGGGAATCCCGGGAAATAGATTTTTTGTTGTTGTTGCAAATCTTGTTTTTAGCCTAAGTAATGTAGGCTATTAATCATATATCAGACGTATTAACGAGAGGCTGCACCTACTTTAGGATGGATTTTTAATTTTGTGCACGCAGCAACGCGTCCCCTGTCAAAACACATAGGAAACATGATTTTTCTTGCGGCCCTCGGCTCTAGATCACATCTACGCACGCAGCAGGTTTTACAGTGATTCTGGACATTGTTTTTTTTTTTTATTCCTAAAGTCTGGCGTCTGGCCAAACCAGCGCACAGAGACCATGAAGACAAACACATACATGTGATTTGTGTTGCTCTCTGCTTCGCAGCCACTGGCCATGGGCGTCGGACTGGGGGGGTAAAGGGTACCGAGTACCCAGGGCCCAAGGCGGGGAGGGGCCCTCTAAAGTGTGTCTTTATATTTATATGTATTAGGCATTGTGGTATATTCATATTATTACAATTTGAATGAAAGGGGCCCTTTATAAAAATAACCAACGTTTTAACCTCAGTTTTCCTCTGAAAACAAATTTGTATGCTATATCAGGGCCCTGCCACCCCCTTACAAAAGATCAAATGGTACGACCCACATGTGCTTGTTGCTGTGTTGCTGCCGCTGCAGCGAGTTGACTTGTTTGACAAGCAGAAGCGGGAAAAATAGAAATGTCTTTTCCAAAGAAAGGAAAATCAGGATTTCAGAAAAGAAAAGAAAGACAGGACAGGGAGAAAAAGTGTAATGAGGGCAAGCAATTGCTTACTCAGTTCTTCCACACGAGGTGAGTATATAGAGACGTGTTAAGGCCACATCAGGAAAAAACCCAGAGACATTTGTTTCTGTATTCTAAACTCACGGAGAGCTAACAGTGTGCCGTGTACGTGGTAAAAAAAAAAACGTTATCCAGAGTGACACACACAGACGCGCAGCTGTAAAGGCAGCTCACACACACTGCTGTCCACTTCTCCTTCAAAGGCAGGCAGCAAAGAGTTATTTTCATGTACAACCCTGTACCCTATATTCCCACTATTGTCATAATCTGTCCGTCCGTGAGTCTTGCAGTCATAAGTCACGGGTCACTCACTGGCCTCTGCATTGGATCATCTGGTTATAACCATACAAATCACACGCCCCCGCACCGATTTGGAGTTTTCTGGTGACATCTAGTGGTCAAAATAATGTAAATATTTCTAATGGTCTAAAGGTTTCTAGCTCTACAATTATCTTAGTGTGTAAACAAGGGTGAAATGAGACTTTCTGGTGTGTAAACTATTGCTTTTAAGCCAGAAATGACAACTGACAATCACAGCCCAGACCATGCCCAACTGTAAGCCCCCCTTCTTCTCCACTGGTGCCATTTTTACAGAAAAATTTCAAATGTTCATGTGGGCGGAGTAAGGCTAGGCACAGGTGTTTAGTTGAAAATGGAATAGGCTTATTTCAAAAAAGATTGCATCGATTGAATTTTGCCACAAAGTCTAAATTGGTGGATAATAATGAACCATAAAAAGTATTTTGTTGTATGTTTGTACAATAACAAATAAGTAACTTACCTACTCATGGTCCATACAAATAAGATAAGATATACTATATATTTTATATGAATAGCCATATACACATATCACATAAAGGCATGCAGGCATATACAGTGCCTTGCGAAAGTATTCGGCCCCCTTAAACCTTTCAACATTTCGCCACATTTCAGGCTTCAAACATAAAGATATAAAATTTTAATTTTTTGTCATGAATCAACAACAAGTGGGACACAATCGTGAAGTGGAATGTATTGGATAATTTAAACTTTTTTAACAAATAAAAAACTGTAAATTGGGGCGTGCAATATTATTCGGCCCCTTTACTTTAAGTGCAGCAAACTCACTCCAGAAGTTCAGTGAGGATCTTTGAATGATCCAATGTTGTCCTAAATGACTGATGATGATAAATAGAATGCACCTGTGTGTAATCAAGTCTTCGTATAAATGCACCTGCTCTTTGATAGTCTCAGGGTTCTGTTTAAAGCGCAGAGAGAACCATGAAGACAAAGGAACACATCAGGCAGGTCCGAGATACTGTTGTGGAGAAGTTTAAAGCCGGATTTGGATACAAAAAGATTTCCCAAGCTTTAAACATCTCAAGGAGCACTGTGCAAGCAATTATATTGAAATGGAAGGAGTATCAGACCACTGCAAATCTACCAAGACCCGGCCGTCCCTCCAAACTTTCATCTCAAACAAGGAGAAGACTGATCAGAGATGCAGCCAAGAGGCCCATGATCACTCTGGATGAACTGCAGATAACTACAGCTGAGGTGGGAGAGTCTGTCCATAGGACAACAATCAGTCGTGCACTGCACAAATCTGGCCTTTATGGAAGAGTGGCAAGAAGAAAGCCATTTCTCAAAGATATCCATAAAAAGTCTCGTTTAAAGTTTGCCACAAGCCACCTGGGAGACACACCAAACATGTGGAAGAAGGTGCTCTGGTCAGATGAAACCAAAATCGAACTTTTTGGCCCCAATGCAAAACGATATGTTTGGCGTAAAAGCAACACAGCTCATCACCCTGAACACACCATCCCCACTGTCAAACATGGTGGTGGCAGCATCATGCTTTGGGCCTGCTTTTCTTCAGCAGGGACAGGGAAGATGGCTAAAATTGATGGGAAGATGGATGGAGCCAAATACAGGACCATTCTGGAAGAAAACCTGTTGGAGTCTGCAAAAGACCTGAGACTGGGACGGAGATTTATCTTCAAACAGGACAATGATCCAAAACATAAAGCCAAATCTACAATGGAATGGTTCACAAATAGACGTATCCAGGTGTTAGAACGGCCAAGTCAAAGTCCAGACCTGAATCCAATCGAGAATCTGTGGAAAGAGCTGAAGACTGCTGTTCACAAACGCTCTCCATCCAACCTCACTGAGCTCGAGCTGTTTTGCAAGGAAGAATGGGAAAGAATTCCAGTCTCGCAATGTGCAAAACTGATAGAGACATACCCCAAGCGACTTGCAGCTGTAATTGCAGCAAAAGGTGGCGCTACAAAGTATTAGCGCAAGGGGCCGAATAATATTGCACGCCCCACTTTTCAGTTTTTTATTTGTTAAAAAAGTTTAAATTATCCAATCAATTTTGTTCCACTTCACGATTGTGTCCCACTTGTTGTTGATTCTTGAAAAAAAAAATATTTTTATATCTTTATGTTTGAAGCCTGAAATGTGGCGAAATGTTGAAAGGTTCAAGGGGGCCGAATACTTTCGCAAGGCACTGTACGTAATAGCTATACACTGTAATGATGGAATATAGTATCTGTTTGCAACCCATTAAAGCTACTTTATTTCAGTTTCAGGAAGAGAAGCATCATGGCCAGATGAAGGCACTAGTAGTGAGGGTTTGACAGTGAGGCATGGTGAGCATTTATCAGTCACTGAATGAACTGTTTTCAATAAGTTAGTAAGTTATTACTTTATAAGTTTAACTGTATACACTAATTCTATATCATTTTTGTCTGTATTGTGTCCATGTAGCAGAGGCAGAGGAAGAATTAGAAGAGGATGTAGAAACTGAATTAAGTGATGAAAGGGAAAGGGAAAGCGAAAGTGATGAGAATGTGGAGAGGATTGAGGAGGAAAGAGACGACACCAAGAGACAGAGTAATAATGATGAGGGATTGTCAGAGGACCCAGGATTATGGCCAGAGAATCTCACCGATAAACAAAGCAAAAGAATTGTTCATCTACTAGCCAGTGATGGTGGTTCAAAAACAGGCAATACCATATATATATATATATATAAGAAACGTGTCGTGGGGGCCCATTGAGACTGTTTGTACCCGGGGCCCAGAATTTGGTGCTACCCCCCTGCCACTGGCAGTCTAGTTAGAGGAGAGACCCGGCTGGGGCCGGGTCTCTCTGTTTTTCTGTAATGTAACACAAAGAATACATTACAGAAAAACATCTGAAGTTAGTCAGTCTAATCTGGAAAATCTAATTCTTGTTCCGTGTAAGAATCAGCCGACCACAACCGCTGATCCTGAAACTTTGAAACTTGCTACGCTTAATGTCAGATCTCTTTGTAACAAGTCTTTTTTAATCAATTATTTTATTTGTTCTCATAATCTAGATCTTATGTTCATGGCTGAAACTTGGCTTGACCAAAATTCAGGAAATGCAGTTTTAATAGAAGCATCACCACCAAATTTCAAGTTTGAATCTGAAATACGGAAAAACAAAAAAGGAGGAGGCTTAGCTGTTCTCGTGTTAAAGTAGCGATATGTAAGATTTTCATGTCATGTCATCATTAAAGGGCCCTAATCTGTCAAAAGACATTAATAAAACATGTTCTTTTCCAATACTTCTTTAACTGATAACAGTAGTTCAGAGATATTTGGATTTCAAAATTAGTTTTCCAGCCCCTAAATCTTGTTATTGTTTTCATTTCAATGACCCGCCCTCCACCGTTTCACCAATCAGAAAGTCACTGGTAAAGTACCATGTGGCACAGAACTAAACCGTTCTGCACCACAAACCCTTAACGACAAAACAAGGAATAAAACCAGGATTTCTATCTTTGTGAAAAAGGTGTTGGTTATAGATTTGTTGTTGACAAAACTCTTGTCTATTCAGCTGTTATGGTCCCAGCTGGATTCGTCTGCATATCTGGCAACCTGAGTCAGGGAGAGTGGGAGAGGCTGCAGTACCACTTTGGGCCAGATTGTTTACATACTGCTCCTTGTACAGGTGAAGTTGCACAGGTTTTGTGAAATGAACGTCTTGCTGTGTTGTGTTCAGGTGCAGTTAGTAAACAACACGTTCAAAGGGATGAAGTACCTGCGGCTGAACACGCTGGCCTCTCTGGGATACGCCGTGGTGGTCATCGACGGCAGAGGCTCCTGTCAGAGAGGGCTGGAGTTCGAAGGGGCGCTCAAAAACAAAATGGTAAAAACATTTGTATTTTTAGATTAGATTCAACTTAATTGTCATTACCAAGTCAGAACAATGCAACAAAATCCAGTTTAGCGTCTAACCAGTCTAATTCTTGGGTTTTATATGACGTCAGGGCAGTGGCGTGAATAACAAACGTAGGACAGGACGTGACGTATCCTGGCGGTGCAGTCTGCCGGGTTTATACACGGAGATATAGTAGAAGAAGAAGTGGTTTATACACGGAGATATAGTAGAAGAAGAAGCGCTGTCAAGATGCCATCTTTTTGTGCGGTGTACGCTTGTAGCAACCGCACAAATAGAGAGAAAGACAAGAGTTTGATCATGTTCCAACTGTGGTCTCATATAAAGGAGGACACTTTGGAAAAATCACTGGAATGAGGCGGGCGAGGTGGATCAAGGCTTTCCCAGATAAGCGCCCCCTGCAGGCCACCCCAATGAAACGCAGCAATTTCTTCTGTTTTTTTTTCTCCAGAAATGCCCAAAATCAAGACTCTTTAGAGAAATATTTGTTAGTACTTCGTTAGAATTGAGTGTCCCCGATTAAGACTGTTCCAACAACCGTACACCGCACAGGAGGAGAGCCTTTGACTCCAAAACAGACTTTATATGGTTTTCAATGGGAGCAAAACTGTCCCACCTCTGCTCATGCGCCCCCTACTGGCCAGTTTAATGAAACACAATAATAGCACACGTATAGGATGATATTTACAACAGATACAGTATATTTGCATATATGGGAGAATGTCTTATTGCTAGTTTATAAATGAATTATATTACATTACATTAAAGTGCATCTAATGGGCTTTAATAGGTTGAGAGTTCTCTGTGGTTTTACCTGTACTGCACTGCAAAAAATACAAAAAATAGGTAATTATTGCTTGAATTGAATGGTTTTTATTTTGACTATAAATAAGATTTGCCAAAAGATATAAGAAATGTCTCCCTATGGTGTTGAGAACCTTTTGACTGTGTGTGTGTGTCCAGGGCCAGGTGGAGATCGAGGACCAGGTGGAGGGGCTGCAGTACGTGGCTCAGAAGTTTAACTTTGTGGACCTAAGCAGAGTGGCCATTCACGGCTGGTCCTATGGAGGCTTCCTGTCGCTCATGGGCCTGATCCAGAGGCCCAACGTCTTCAAGGTCAGAGAGAAACACGCAGTTTAGTGCCATCTTATCTTTTGAGTCGTTTATAACATCGCCATCTTACTATTGTCTGGTATAACCTCAGTAAAACATATGTGAAGGAGAGCAAAGACTTTAAAGCTGGGGTTCCTGACTGTTTCTTTCATTAGTCATATATTGTGTTAGTTCCATCCATCCATTTTCTTCCCTTTAATCCATTTCTGGGTCAGGGGGGTGGCAGTCAGAGATACCACCCAAGTCTCATAGCACCAGCCCCTCACTGACCCTCTGCAGGTGGTGAGTCCACAGGAGGACGGCTGCTCTCTGACTGTGAGCATAGCCTTGATCTTTCAGTGGGGGCTTTTGGCAAAGTGGGGTTAAGTGTCTTGCCCAAGGACACAACGACAGCAGTCATCAGTGGGAGTCGGTGGAGAAGGTGCAGAGGTGGGAATTGAACCCACGACCTTCTGGCCTTAAGGCCAATGCTCTACCAACTGAGCTACTGTCGCCCCGACACTATTGTGTTAGTTGTTTTTTTTTATTAGAAAACCTGTTCTCTTTTTGCATACTTGTAATAGAGAACCCTGTGAGTCACTATTTGATGCTTTGGGCTGAGTGGCTGAGTGAGGGTGGTTCTCTCTATTGCACTTTTCCGTCTGAAAAAATACATGCGTTAGAATCATAGACTCAGGGCTTAAAGTTTTCCGGCACCGTGCCGGAAATCCGGCGTGAGAAAAAAAAAAAAAAAAAAACATCACTTTTTTTTTTTTTTTTTTTTTTTTATATATATATAAATAAATAATGATTGCTGTCATTTGAAAAAAGGTTCAAGTGTGTTCTACCAATTCTATGAAAGGATTGCATGTGTATAGCGCAGGGATTAAAGAGTTCCGTCTAAGTGACGGATTTCCGTCAAATGAAATTGGTCTGAAAAAAAAACAAAATATATAATAATAATATAATACACACAATTAAATGGTTAATTATAACAAAATATATAGTAATACGTGTGAATCTGTTGTATATATCTAGATATATATTAATAATTTGAATATAATTGTATTTATATGTATATAGAAATAAAAAGTAACGAGTGGGCCTTGAACGTGCCGTGGCTAGCTACATGAGCGCTCCGTAAATGATTCAAGGCAATGGGACGTAGCCAAGTTAGCGATGGTAACACGGAGGTGAAAGTTTCTGAAAAGTGCACGGAGCTTTTGAAAAGGAGAAGAGGACAAGGAAAATGTAATCCCGAACGGAGCAATAACAGCCAGCAGCCCGCGGACCGGTAAGCTGGGCGCGTTATCAGAGGAAAGGTAGGACATAATTAACGTTTACCAAACGCAATGCTTTTTTATTTAACGGAATGTACAATATGTACTTTGCTGTGACTGGGAATGGGGACAAGCATGTCTTGGTGAGCTTTTGATAATATCTTGGTGGCGATCCCCATGCAAAACTGCGTGATAAAAAAGCAAATCAACGAGAGCGAACGGAAGAAACTCGCTGAAGAAAGGTGTGTGTTAGCAGGTCTTATATTCATTCATCAAAGCTAGCCTAGCATTCACGCACAATCACAATCATGGATCGTTGTTTATGGAAGAAGGAGCTGTATAAGTTGCTGTTGATAACGGAGTGAAAAATAAATGGAGGTGGGCATGGCTGGATGAGGTGGAGATGATGGGATTCTGTTGCTTCCTGGTGCAAAAAGATGAAGGTGTCCGGTGCTTGTTCGTACTTCGCTATTATTATTTTTTTATATGGGAGTAATGAGAAAACAGCTTTGGATTCACCACCAGCTCAAAACTGCGCACTTGGCAGCTGTCCGTGCACTTTCCCACGCTTCTTTACCTGGTGCATCAGATTCAGCGACAACTGAGACTAGGCTTGCTCTGGTGGACTGTGTCTGTGACCTAAAACTATCTGTGGCTTTATCGCAGAAAATAACCTGTCGTTCAGAACCATCACTACCGCTGGTAGATTTAATTATCATTAATCATTTGCAGTTGATAAAACTGCGCTGTGCACTAGCACCAAGTTGATAGGGAAACCTTTTTCTTAAACATTGAGAGTCCACAAACAAATGTGGACAGCATTTTGAATGTCCTTTTGCGATATTTTGACGAGGACAGAGCCAAAGGACAACGCCTCATCTCGCCTCAAGTAAAGCCAATGATGCAGATCCAACTACTCTCACTAATATTCTGTCAAAGAGTTGACAAGTTGCTTGATCCACTGGTTGTAATTTCACATCAAAATACACCAGTTTAAATGTATATCTTTGAAGAATTCGTTTGATCTGTAATTCATTATATTTCCATGAGAAAATTTTCAGTCATATCTTTTTTTTTTGCTTTAACCCCTGGATGATGTATTTATTGCCAACAACTGATGTTTATAATAAACATCAGTTGTTGGCATTAAATAGATATAAATTATATGTATGAGCGTATAAAGGCGCTTATAAAAAACGCTTATTAGTGATCATTCTATGATTCATATAGATGGTTCAGGCTCAGGAATTTTTTCAACTTTAACCCATGTAGACTGTAAATGTTAACGGACGTAGTCACGCCTATCTCCGCCGTTCTAACTAATGGGCCATAACTTCTGCAATCTTTGGGCCGTTTCAAAATGGCCGCGGAGTCTGGAAAATGTGAAAAAACACATCTGGGCATGCGTCAGCCGCATGAGCCCCATTCATTTAACGAGTGCCTTCAAAAATTTCACAGCGACTAAACTAGACTGGATTAAGGGGAAGAAAATGGATAGATAGATGGATAAACTAGAGTGGTCCAAAAAAAATCACTCCCCTCAGCATTGACACACATGTGGAACGGAGCTTTGGGCCAAGAGCCGACTTTTGGACCATCCTGTAAAGACGTTTTCCAGAGGTAAGAAGATGCGTCCATTAGCATTGAATAATCCTTATTCCGGATTCACCCCCTCTGGCCCGGGGTGGTATTACAGCATGTCAGCGCACGTCATTTTGGACATTTTTGAGCCGCCCCCACTGGTTGGAATACTGTTCTAGAGTCAGAGAGTTGGAACATTTTTATCACATTGTGGTTTTAAACTTGGGGACCTGAGCTTTAAAGTGTGTGTGACATTGTACACTTCTGTAGCACAGTCACTTCCTCTGGATTTCTCTGGACTTGTTCTTTATGAAACATTACCGGTGTCCGCCACAGGGTGTCACTGTGGAGCTGTGCTGGTGAAGGCCAGGAAAGAGGCTTCTGGACTATTGTGTGTTTTTTGTTTTTATGATTTGGAAACACAACAAACATCAGTGAATCTTTTACATTAATGGAATAAATCTGTTCTGGTGGTATTTGCATAAACTAGATCTAACTGATAAATGTTAGTAAAAACAAAGGCAGTGTGTGTGTCTTAACGTGTGTGTGTCTTAACGTGTTTGTGTGTGTGTGTTGCAGTTGGCGATCGCGGGCGCTCCGGTGACCGTGTGGATGGCGTATGACACTGGTTACACCGAGCGCTACATGGACGCTCCAGAGAACAACCAGCAGGGATACGAGGACGGATCAGTGGCTCTGCACGTGGACAAGCTGCCCAGCGAGTAAGAGACACACACACACACACACACACACACACACCTATATACATACAGTACATACACACCCAAGCACAAATACATATACATACACACTCTCTCTTACACACACACACACACACACACACACACACACACACACACACACACACACACACACACACACACACACACACACACACTGCATGTTTTCAATAGAAAGCGCGATGTGAATAAATGTGCCTCCTTCCTCCGGCCACAGCTGCTCCTCCTGTTCCCAATTCCAACAGAAGAGAAAAGAACAGCCCCAGGTTTTAAACAAGTCTCTGCAGTATCTGTCTTCATCCATTCCTCATCGGGTCAAAAACACTTTTCTCTCCCGTTTTTAAAGACATATTTTGCATTACTTTTATTATATTAATGCTTTGTCATAAAATACTTTCTGCCTGTAACTCCCTGTGCTGCCACCAGAGGGAGCATGCATTTATTTTCACTTAAGAATTCGCCCAAAACTAATCCAAGAGCAATACTTTTGGTTTTAAAAGTAAGAAAACTGCTCTGAGTGTGATGTCATAGTGATGTCATAGCGGTACAATGACATCATAGTATTACAGGACTGAGACTGGAGCTCTTAGACAGAAGGGGCGGAGCTACGTGTTTGTGCCATAAGTCTCTGATGTGGTTGAGCCTGGATGGATCTAAAATCAACTCCTGTTTTATAACACTAACTCTCTCTCTTTGTATCTCTGTCTCTCTCTCTGTCTCTCTCTCTCTCTCTCTCTCTGTCTCTGTCTCTGTCTCTCTCTCTCTGTCTCCCTCTCTCTCTGTCTCTGTCTCTCTCTCTCTGTCTCCCTCTCTCTCTGTCTCTGTCTCTCTCTCTCTGTCTCCCTCTCTCTCTGTCTCTGTCTCTCTCTCTCTGTCTCCCTCTCTCTCTGTCTCTGTCTCTCTTTCTCTCTGTCTCTCTCTCTCTGTCTCTCTCTCTGTGTCTCTCTCTGTCTCTGTCTCTCTCTCTGTCTCTCTCTCTTTCTCTCTCTCTGTCGCTCTCTGTCGCTCTCTCTCTCTCTCTCTCTCTGTCTCTCTCTCTGTCTCTGTCTCTCTCTCTCTCTCTCTCTTTCTCTTTTTCAGGCCGAATCGTTTGCTGATTCTTCACGGATTTCTAGACGAGAACGTGCACTTTTTCCACACCAATTTCCTTGTGTCGCAGATAATCCGCGCAGGGAAACCGTACCAGCTCCAGGTGGGTTTGGATGTGACTTTACCTCTGATCCAGTCGCCATAGCAACCAACCAATCAATCCATCAATCCATCACAATGTATATATAAAGCAGAGTTCATACAGAATACTAACCAAAGTGCTTCACATTGACAACATCTATCAGTATAAACAACGCCTGATGATTGTGAGGCTAAAAAGAACCGTTTTCAGCCTTGACGTGTAAACATCCAGGGCAGCGGCCTGTCTCACACCTTCAGGAAGATTGTTCCAGATGTTTAATGCCAGCCCCACCTCTGCTTCGGAGCGAGGCCGTGGACAGACTGGTCCAGACTTCTAGCTTTCATGTCAAGAAACTACTAAACCAGGGGTCTCCAACCTGTGGCTCAGGAGCTATCAGTAGCTCACCAGCCCCTTTCAAGAAGCTCCCCAAAGGATTTAGAATTTAACAAATGATCTTGAATGAATACATTTTGAGTCATGAAATATTTATCTGTTTTCAGTCTGAACAACAACTAGTTTTGAAGCTGTTTTTGTGGATTGGTTTCACAGCGACGCTTGTTTCTTGAACTTTATTTTGCTTGTTTTATGTCTGTACCGTTCTGGTGCACACTTAGGGACTCTTGCACATGTATTCCAATGGGGTTTTACTGCAAATAGCAAAAAATAAACTGAATCTGTACATTTTCCTTGTTCCAGGTTTACCCCAACGAGCGCCACAGTATCCGCTGCCCCGAGTCCGGAGAGCACTACGAGATAATGCTGCTGCACTTTCTACAACAATACCTCTGATCCTCCCCCTCTCCTCCCCCTCTCCTCACCCCCCTCCCCTCCCTCCCTCCCCCTCCTACACAGTGCAGAGGTAGGTTGGCCCAAAAATCACCCAAAACCTGCAAAAACGGAAGACGCCAAACGGATCGCGGCGCCGTGTTTCACAATCTTTCAGTCAGTACCGCTTCTTCGAGCTCTTCCCAAAGGAGTCATCTTTTTTCCCGCCGCCGTTTCTGAATTCTGCCAAACGTCTTCTCGTGTCTGTTCTCTCGCCGTGAGTGTGTGTGGTCCATGTTTGACGAGTTTCACGCTATGTAAACGAGAGCGCCCACCCGAAACGCAGCGGTCGGAGAGGCTGTGGCGTCCGGGGGCGTCGCCACGGCACCAGAAACAACGCTATCAGAAGTGGGGTTAAAGGGGAAGTCTGTAAAGGTGGAATGAGGAAGTGGCAAGTTCAGGCAAAGGTTCGACTCGAAGGATTTTAAAAGTGGGATATGCGTTTAGGCCGGCAGACCCATATTTAAGTCTATACATTTTAGGCAAGGCAAGGTTATTTATATGGCACAGTTCATACACAACTCTTTTTAAAAATACAGACCTTCCCTTTAAAGTCTTGGACAAGAGCTGTAACAAGTTCACTGGGGGTGGTGCCTCTCTCCAGCCGTTCATCTATGATTTTAAAAGATATGTTTTAAAACTGTAGAACGCTGGTAACAGACAGGACTGCTTTGTTATTATTATTATTATTATTATTTTCTCCAGTTTTTGCATTTATCCAGTCACTGACAAGCATTACATTACTCATACATAGTTACTTTTGTTCAGTGTTTACAAATACAGACAAAAATCAATCCATTTGGACAGAAGCAATTAGCAACTTTAGCTAATTAGCATTCAGAAAAAGCCCAAAATTGAGCTTTTTTTATAATTTTACGGATTCGCAAGCAGCCGATGATGTCTCCGCTTCTGGACACGAGCTTTTGAAGCACTTTGAATCTTATTTCTGTATGATTTAAAATGACTTGATATTAGTGTTTTTAAAGCTGGGGAACCTAACTTTAAAGCCATAACATGTCACGCTAAATATTTAAAATAGTTTTGTTGCTTTTCTCGGGGTTATATTTGATTATTTTAGGATTATTTCCCAGCTTTAGAGCAGCAGAAAAGTTTAATATGGATCCTCTGTGTCACTACTGTCCAAATAAACAGCTAAAACTAAAATAATGTTTTTAACTTTTGAGGTTTTTAAAGTTTCACAAACAGAAATGTAGCAGTTATTCATCACAGGCCCAACTCCAGCTTTATACGGTGGAACAAATGAATTATACTGGGTTTTTTTCTTTTAAATAACGGATAATAAAGGGTTGTATTGAAAGAAGAAGAGTTAGAATAATTTTTTTGTGGAGGAAAAACAAATTCTTTTGGGATTGGGTCAAAAGTTGGATCTATAATCTACGTTCAAGAGAAGCGGGCTCTGCGTTGTTAGTGGAACTCATGAAGAATTTAAAGCTGGGGTTTGTAACTTTAGCCTCATAAATGATACAACAGAAAGAGTCAAAGTAAAATGTTGTGAAGTGATGGTTTTAATACAACATGTTTTTTTATCATAAAGAGCTGAAGGGTCTTTTCAGTCTGAACAAATCTGGTCTCTCTCTGGTCTCTCTCTGGTCTCTCAAGTCTCTCTCTGGTCTCTCTCTGGTCTCTCTCTGGTCTCTCTCTGGTCTCTCTCTGGTCTCTCTCTGGTCTCTCTCTGGTCTCTCTGGTCTCTGGTTTATCTCTGGTCTCTCTGGTATCTCTCTGGTCTCTCTCTCTGGTCTCTCTCTGGTCTCTCACTGGTCTCTCTCTCTGGTCTCTCTCTCTGGTCTCTCTGGTGTCTCTCTGGTCTCTCTCTGATCTCTCTCTCTGGTCTCTCTGGTCTCTGGTTTATCTCTGGTCTCTCTGGTATCTCTCTGGTCTCTCTCTCTGGTCTCTCTGGTCTCTTTCTAGTCTCTCTCCAGTCTCTCTCTGCTCTCTCTCTCCGGTCTCTCTCTCCGGTCTCTCTCTCCGGTCTCTCTCTGGTCTCTCTCTCTCTAGTCTCTCTCCGGTCTCTCTCTGGTCTCTCTCTCTCTAGTCTCTCTCTAGTCTCTCTCTCTGCTCTCTCTCTCCGGTCTCTCTCTCCGGTCTCTCTCTCTGGTCTCTCTCTCTTGTCTCTCTCTGGTCTCTCTCTGCTCTCTCTCTCTCTTGTCTCTCACCATCACCAGGTGCAAAACACAAATGAGTTGCACAAAACACAAGATAAATGAACATTAAGTCTTTCCCAAAACAAAATAAAATCAGTATATGTATCTAGTCTCAAATGCAGTATCTTCTAGTCCAGGAAATAGACACAGGCTAAAAATACTAAACATTTATGTGAAAACTAGTGATAAAAACCGTTGTTAAATGGATTTTATGACTATATTTCTGAGAGTTGTGTGCCCCATCTGTATTCATTCTACCAGTTTAATGGAGCATACATATCCCTCTCCTCCTCGTTGTGGTTTTGTGCCGTGTCTTTGCCCCAAACGCCACAGTCTCTCTCTCTCTCTCGGCGTGTGGTGGTGCAGCCGCAGGAGCCCTGGGTTTTTAGCTGTTTAAAGAAAGTATTTTTCTGAGGTTTTGTGGCCTCTGTCCCGGAGGCCGTCGCTGCCTCCTCCTCCTCACAGCGCACCACACGAGTCGTCTGCTTTTTGCCTTCTTAAACTCATAATTTATATATTTGCCAAAGTACCTCTGGACTCTCGATCATGCCGGTGTTTCCTCTTTTTTTTATCGCAATACGAACAGACAGAAGTGTGAGCGCCGGAGTCTTACAACCGCTTTGTACCGCCGGAAAAACTTTGTACATGAAGATGAATAAATGTATGAATCAAACACAAGACTCCAGGTTTTTGTCTTTTTTTAGAGGGATGGAGAGATAGAGAGAGAGAGAGAGATGGATGGATACAGAGAGAGAGACAGATACAGAGAGGCATACAGAGGGAGAGAGAGAGACAGATACAGAGAGATATAGATACAGAGAGAGAGAGATGGATGGATACAGAGAGAGAGACATACAGAGAGAGAGAGACATACAGAGGGAGAGACAGAGAGAGAGAGATGGATGGATACAGAGAGAGAGATATATACAGAGAGACAGATACAGAGAGAGAGACAGATACAGAGAGAGAGATAGATACAGAGAGAGAGACAGATACAGAGAGAGAGACAGATACACAGAGAGAGAGAGAGATAGATGGATGGATACAGAGAGAGAGAGACAGATACAGAGAGAGAGACTGATACAGAGAGAGAGACGGATACAGAGAGAGAGACGGATACAGAGAGAGACATACAGAGAGAGAGACAGATACAGAGAGAGAGATAGATACAGAGAGAGATACAGAGAGAGAGATAGATACAGAGAGAGAGACGGATACAGAGAGAGAGAGACAGATACAGAGAGAGAGACGGATACAGAGAGAGACAGATACAGAGAGAGAGACGGATACAGAGAGAGAGATAGATACAGAGAGAGAGACAGATACAGAGAGAGAGATAGATACAGAGAGAGAGACAGATACAGAGAGAGATGGATACAGAGACAGATACAGAGAGAGATACAGAGAGAGACAGATACACAGAGAGAGAGAGAGATAGATGGATGGATACAGAGAGAGAGAGACAGATACAGAGAGAGACAGATACAGAGAGAGAGACTGATACAGAGAGAGAGACGGATACAGAGAGAGAGATACAGAGAGAGAGACGGATACAGAGAGAGACAGATACAGAGAGAGAGACAGATACAGAGAGAGAGACGGATACAGAGAGAGAGATAGATACAGAGAGAGATACAGAGAGAGAGATAGATACAGAGAGAGAGACGGATACAGAGAGAGAGAGACAGATACAGAGAGAGAGACGGATACAGAGAGAGAGATAGATACAGAGAGAGAGACAGATACAGAGAGAGAGATAGATACAGAGAGAGAGACAGATACAGAGAGAGATGGATACAGAGAGAGACAGATACAGAGAGAGATACAGAGAGAGACAGATACAGAGAGAGAGATACAGAGAGAGAGACAGATACAGAGAGAGAGATAGATACAGATAGAGAGATAGAGATACAGAAAAGATATATTTAGGATAAGAGAACCTTTATTCGTCCCACAGTGGGGAATTTTCAATGTTGCAGCGCACAGACAGAACAGTAGTCAGAGCACACACAATATACACAATAAGTAGTAGCTGTGTTTCTTAACTGGCTGTAAATGCTTCAATACCAGTCCTTCAAATATATATATATATATATGTAGTAGTGCGGAGTTATATACTGTACAAAGTGACATTATGCAGTATTTAACATTGCAACACAGCACAGAGAGAGATAACATTTTTTGAAGATGTCTCTGTGTTTGTTGTCATTGCATTTTGAACAGTTTGATTTTCTGATCTGTTGCTGGCGAATCGACAACATGTCAAGAGTCCTCTGCGATAACTGCTGTTGTGATTTAGAGCCACACAAAAACAAATTGAATTGAGACGTCTCTGAGTGCAGTAAGTGCCTCCAGCCTCTTCGCACGCCCCTCTCTCTCCCGCTGATGAGAGCCTGTTTCCATGGTGACGTGAAGGTTCTCGCCGTCTTCAAGGGGCTCTTGGATAATCCTGCGGAGAAGCCCAGAGAGATGGACCCCTCTGGGAATCGCACTTAGGTCTCATGAAACGTAATTTAAGTGTTAGTGAGAATGAGACAATATAACGGTGAGAGATATATCAAGTGCTTTCCACATTTCAAGCCCCTCTCTTTCTGGTCTCTCTGGTCTCTCTCTCTGGTCTCTCTTTCTGGTCTCTCTCTCTGGTCTCTCTTTCTGGTCTCTCTGGTCTCTCTTTCTGGTCTCTCTCTCTGGTCTCTCTTTCTGGTCTCTCCCGCTGGTCTCTTTCTGGTCTCTCTCTTTGGTCTCTCTCTCTGGTCTCTCCCCGGTCTCTCTCTGGTCTCTCTCTCTGGTCTCTCTCTAGTC